ACCAGGGGGCGGGGCTGGCTGGCATGTGGTGCTGGGGGATTGAACCGCGGTCCCTGATGCTTTGCCAAGCTAGTTCCAAATAGGTGCTTTAGACCACTGAGCCATCTCTCCAGCCCCCCCATTGGCTTTTTTACATATATCCAAATTTCTTTCACTTTTTTTTTTGTTTGTTTGCAGAACTGGGGATTGAACTTGGGCCCTTGTGCTTGCCAGGGAAGCACTTATTCTACTGAGCCATCTCTCTGGCCCTTCTTTCACTTTTTAAAATAGAACCAAAATAAAAAAAAAAATTTGACCTTATATCTCCAGCCAGTATATATGTTTTCTCCCCTTCAAAGCCAAATTTCTTAACAAATTTTTCTAACTTGACAGTTTCCTTAGTTTATATCCTGTCTTAGATACTTTGCTTGATACTAAGACAAAATGCCCAACACCTAAACTTAAAGAAGGGAAGGCTTATTGTAGTTCAATTTGTAGTCGTTTCAGTCCATATTGAACTGGCTTCAAGGCAGAGGGGCATCACAGAGGAGAAATATTATGGCAGACAGAAGGCAGCAAAGCAGTGAAGTAGCAAGCAGGCAGTAACAAACAACGTCAGTAGCCCTCTTTTTGTTCCTTAGATTTTATCCAGGCTACCTGCACTGATAATACTCATACCTTTAATCCTAACATTGTACTGTGAATCAGTCTGAGCATCTCATCCTACAGATCCAGCCACCCGCACAAAACCCAGCCTGTGATCACAAGAAACTCGGAAGGGATGTCTAGACATAAGACATACACTTTCTATTCATTTTTCAATTCACCTAACTTCTATCCCCATTTCACTATTATAATTTTTCTAAAGACTCATGATAAACTATATAAAGCTAAAGATAACAGATAAAGGGTCTCTTAATTCAATGAATAGAGAGGGTTCTAATAGTGTTTGAGACAGGATATCAGGTCTGCATCTTGTACAACGAATAACCACTAAGACAACAATATGCAATGTATTAATTATTGAAAATGTACTGGTAGTCGGTTGTGAAACTGGCTCATTGCTATTTGTTTCTCAATAAAAATATTTTTAGGAAAAAGAAAAAAAATAAGATAAAGGGGCTGGTGAGATAGTTCAAGGTTCTAAAGCACCTGCTTAGGCAAGCTTTAAGCAAAGCACAGGGGTTTTGTTTGATCCCCAGCACCACAAGCTGCACCAGCCCCCACTCCCCCGGGTGGGCTGAGTGAGCCAGAAAAATAAATAAATAAATAAATAAATAAATATAAAGTTAACAGATGAAGTTAATTTTATTATCACATGCTTTCTAACCAGTCATTGTTCTGCTAACCACATCTTTTTAAAGCTTCTCTTTTCTGCTTTTCTTTTACTTTCCTGTTTCTGCCTGCTAGCTTTCATTTGAAACTTACACTTGACTATTCTCTGTCATTACCTAAATGTCGGTGTTTATTGAAGCTGAACTTTAAGTCTTCTTTATTCTGTTTTTCCTTGTATTTTCTAATTCCTGTCTACAGGATTCACTGTTAATTCAAAAATTTATATTTGCACTTCTTTTAAAAATTGTCTTTTAAGCTGAAGAACATTATCCACTTCCCCATTTGGCATTTCCACTTGAATAGTCAGAAGTAAACAATCACTATTTTAAAAAGGAATTCTCAGTTTCATTACGCATATTCACCACTAACTCACCAGCACCCTCAACGCAAACCACACTTACCACACTTACACCTGCTCATACATAGAAACCCATCTGGTCTTCTTTCATTCCTGTCCCAATGAGTAATAATACTATCTATCAATCAGCTACACAAATGAAAAACAATTTATTTTTAAAATCCACTTGATTGCTTCAATAACCACTCAAGTGTTTTCCAGTCCATACCACATCCTATCACTTGTTTCCTCTATACCCCAAATGAGTTTACTTCATTATACCTCTACCACCACAAAATTAGGCTGAGTTGTCATCATCTTTTACTTGGATTTAATTAGTCTTCAGACCTACTTTTAGTAATTTCCATTTCTTTTGCTTGATATTTAAGGACGATCTCAGCTATTCCTAGTTAATTGTTACTTTTTAAATTTCTTTTTAAAGCTTTATCCTAAATAAAAATTATCAGTTTTATTCCCTTGTTATACTTACCCAGTTATAACTTCCCTTTACCCATAGTTTCATTTTCAGCAATTTCAGTTACCCACAGATGAATGCAGTCTGAAATTAATAAATGGAAAGTTCTAGAAACAAGCAATTCATACATTTTAAATTGTGCACCATTCTGTGTGGCATGGTGAACATTCTCTCTTCTGGGATGTGAATCTTCCCTTTCCCCTGTGTGTCTTCACTATTACATTTGCTGCCTTCTCATTAGTCAGTAACTATTTTAGTTATCAGATCTACAGTTATAGGTATTATGGAACTGAAATCTTCACAAGGTTCAAGTAATACTTATTTTATTTGATAGTGACCCCAAAGGGTGTAGGAGTAGTGCTGCTGGCAATTCATAGAAACCAAGAAGACACTATAAAATGCTTGCTTTAACCAAGAAGGTGAAGAGTAACAAAAGTGACACACAAAAACAACCACATTCCCACAGCTTTTATTGCAGTATTTGGAATTGCTCTATTTTAACTAATAGCTATATTGTTGATCCCTTCCCTATGCCTGACTTATAAATTGAGATTTATCATAGTTTATGTATGTATAAGAGAGAAACATAGTGTATACTGTGTAGGGTTCAGTACTAATCAAGGTCTCAAGAATCCACTGAGGGTCTAGAAACATACACTTCACAGATAAGGGACATACTAAAATTTTATTTTCTATAGACACGGTGAATTTCTGATTCTCTCTGTAGACTGTGTCTTTTCCTTATATATATTTGATAAATAAGGGAATAGATTGAATGAGTCCCACACATAATGTCTGAGGCATAAAACTCAGTAAAGCTTAAGTGTTTTTACTGAAAAATACAGAATTTTCAAAGAAGAGTCAAGACATATGCAGGTACAAATTCTCGCATGATTATGATCATATCTAAATTGTACCAATAAACTTAATAAAAAGTACAAAATTTTAAAGTTTTTTTTTGATGGACATAAGGATTTTGAATTAGTTTTATTTTTAAATTATGAAATCTTTTAAATCACAAAATCTTTGGAGGAATTTCTAGGATAATGCTCAGAAATGGTGCTTAACTATTTAAAACAGGAGATTATTTTAAAACAGTTACAGGTAATTTTAATGTATACATTCAAAATAAAATTTCTTTTACAGAACCAAAAACCCAGAAGTTGAATAATAAGAAAGGAAGTAATACTGACACTCTTAGAAGAGTACTGTTAACTACACAAACAAAGGTAACTATACTAAACATATTTACAGATCAGTGGCAGTCCAATCTTATTTTTAGATTTCAGTTGATAACATTGTCTCAATGTAAAATTTTTTATTAGTTATATTTTTCATCATTATTTACATATCTTTGAGACAACAAGAAATTGCCTATTTTTTTTAGTTTTTTTTGTTGTTGTTGGGATCTAAGAGATTCTTATATGTAAATACAAATATTACAGAGAAAGTGAATATGATAGCCAAAATGTGGATTATGAGGATACAAATACATTAACTGATTACTGGCAAAATCAGAACAATCCAATGACAGCAGAGCTCAAGTAAGTGATTTTTGATCCCACCAAGATACATATCCTTTTTCTTGGTTTATTACTTTTTTCTCAAATAATAACTTAAATTTTTTCAATTTACTTTAATAAGTAGCAAAGAAGAACAACATTATTTACTACTGACTGTCTTTATCAGATACAAAAAATATGGTACTTATATATGATCTTGTGAAAAAAGTGCAATATTTGTGTGTCCTTCAACGTACATGATGAAAATCACTTTCATATTGACCACTTCCCATAAATGTTGATAGTTTTGTAAGATGTATTTAATATTTATATTTTAAATTATACGTTTTAAGCCTACATTTTACAAACTATATGTACTAAGAATAATTACCCCAGAGGGTTATAAATATAAATCAAATCAACATTTTGGGAAAAACAGTCAATGGATTTAGAAAACAAAACATATTTAAAGGAATAGAAAAATTCTTTTTTTCTAAATGTTTGAAAATTACTTAAAATGTTTTCTTTAATTTGTCTTTCTGATACCAATAGTATTAGAGTAAAATACAAATTTAGAATTTCAAATCTTTGATAGACCAGTCAATATTGTTATAAATATACTATTTGTTTATATTGTTTCCAAGAAAAAATAAATATCCATGTCAGCCTTCTACAAGTTTACTATTTTTGACATTTGGGGCTTATAAGCACAAAGATCAAATTATGGCATGCTTACAGATTGTGTGAGATATTTCTACATTTATCCTACTAATAAAGTTTTTTTCCTAGATGTAAAGAGATTTATATACTTTATTATTAAAAGCATATTATGTAAGTGAGAAACAGTGAAAAGAAAAAAAAATGATTGCTCATTTATCTTTTTCTGGCAATTTTTTTAATAGAATCAGTTTGCAGCTGTAAATACCCCAAAGAAAGAAACTTCTCAGATTGATGGACCATCTCTAAACAATACTTATGGTTTCAAAGTCAGCATACAAAACTTACAGGAGGCAAAAGCTTTACATGAGGTAAAACTGTGACAATGACACACATACTGTGTTTATTAGGTTTTATTCTATAAAACAAGTATGGAAAATTTTTAATGAAAACAAGATACTTTTAATTCTATCTTTGTAAGTCTTTATTTTGTTCTTTTTATTTTACTTTATATAATGTATAGAAAAACCTTTAAGCCATTGCTTGAGTTGCTGCAATTGGTTTCACAACTTTGATAGATCTAGTAACTGAAATTTATGAGAGCTAAAACAAGGAAAATTTTTAAATATTAGAATTATACATTGGAAAACGTATATTTTATTTGAGATCATCACAGTAGAATGGTATGTCGCATCTCAAATATGATATTTACCGGTATTTCTATTTGTTTTGCTCAGTAAATTAGAAGTCAAAAGAGGACGGGCCAGGCCAGACAGCTCAACAGATTAAAACACCTGTTTAGGCAGACACAGGGATCTGGGTTTGTTCCTTGGTGTGCCATGCTAGCCCCATCCCTGGGGTGTGCTGAGGCAGCATTTAAGATTGGTTGTGGTGTCATGTGCCTGTAATCCCAACTTTGGGAGGCTGAAAACAGGAGTATCACTACGCATCTGAGCTTAGTGAGACCCTGTACCAAATACATTTTAAAAAACCAAAACAATGAATTCACTTATTCAGATAATCACTAAATAATAATCTCTACTTACTTTCACAGTACAAACTATTTCCTAAAGACTAGGACACTTTCATAAAAATGTACATGGTAGTATGGATTGGAAAGAATATGTGGATGAGTACTATAAAATTTATCTGTATTACAGAAAACAAAGCAAAGTACACATCAGAGAGCGTTTTCATAGTTTATGTTGTGCTTTCATTGTAGTACCTACTAGCAAAGTGGCTCTTGAGAACTTTTAATTGGGCCTATATAATTGAGGAACTGAATTTTTAACTTTTATTTAATTTTACTTAATTTAGGTATAAAATTTGATACTGTGCTCATTTATTGAAAATATTTTTAAAGTCTTTTGGTATAATCTAGGTATTTGAAACTTTTCTCAACTATGAATTTTATGAATTGTAAATGTGGATCAAGTATTTCCATAGAAAATTCAGCATCCACATTGAGTGCTATAAAGTGTATACTGATTTTAAGACTTATTGGATAAAAGAATGTAAAGTGTCTTACTCATAATTTTTATATTGGTTACATATTGAAAGAATAATGTCTTAGATGTGCAAGTTAAATATCCTTAATCTAAAACTCCAAAACCTGAAACTGAGTACTGATACAATTCCACATCTGGAAAACTTCACCTCTGTCCTCATGAGATGAGCTATAGTCAGATTGTTTATTCACTGAAAGTACTTTTTAAAATTACCTTCAGCCTAGCTGTATAAGATGTGTGTATTTCATAGTAAATGAATTCGTTTTTAAACTTTAGCTACATCCCCAAGATGCCTCATTACGTACATGCAAATGTCATAAAATCCAAAATGCTTTGGGATCTAAACATTTTGAATAAGCGAGTCTCAACCTGTACCAAATAAAGATTTTTTTTTTTTTTTTTTTTTTGTGGAACTGGGGATTGAACTCAGGCCCTTATGTTTGCCAGGCAAGTGCTTATTCTACTGAGCCATCTCCCCGGCCCCGATAAATGTTTTAAAAATAATTTAACCCATTTTTACTTTTTTCATTGTGGCTATTAGAACTTTTTAAACACATGTGGCTTTTGTTTTATTTCTGTTGGATGATGTGAGTTTATATAGTTTTATGTCTTAAGGCAGAGAGTTAGTAAATTGCGATTTTTTTTTTTAGAATTATAATCTCACTTCTTTATTTATGCATTTTCTTTTCATTCAACAGCAGTTATTTAGTTCATTTTTGGACCTTATCCTGTTTTAACTCCTAAAGCCAGGAAAAGTTATGGGCTGAGCTCAATGTACGTCAAACACACACAAAATTAAAAATTAAAGGAATACTTAACATAGTAATATGTTTAAATGTTTAAAACATTTCTTAAAGCAAATTGATAGACCTTAACAAAGACTTGTTAGTCTTATTATTTAGTTGGTCTTTTTATTTGAAAAATACAAATTTCTTTATATTTGTTATTTATATTCATTAATTTGCTCTTTGCAACCCCATTTTAGAAGCTTGATTCCTCTTAAAGTTGTAATCACTCAGGATGTCTGGTGGGTTGCTGAGAACATTCTCCTCTCATCTCAGAAATTGTAATGGCCACCTGCTGGCCAAAACAGGACATAAGTCCCCAAGATCTTTATTATGCTCGTCTCTCTGAAATTCATTAACTTGTCCTCCTCTTCCTTCTATACATTGATACTCAGTATTTAACGAAAGGATTTTTGTTCCCCCTTTTCACCTACCTTTTACTAGTTACTCAATAAATTTCTGTGGTCATCTCTGTGTTCTGTGTTTGCATAAAGTAATATACATCAAAGTAATCATGCATTTTATGTGGTTCAGTAGAAAGGCTTTTGGAGTATGAAATTATCTAGTAATGAAATCAAGACTCATTGATCTAAAATTGTCTTTTCTCTGGAGTCTTTCTATATTTTTATTCTTTTTTAATTAAACTGGTTGTTTTGTTTTGTTGACTTAAGTTTGAGGGAGAGGGTTCCCATTTTAAAATTTTGTGTTAAAATAGTGTGAGCTGATTGTTAAAGGAAGCTGGTACGTAGTTCATTGTTGAGAATGATTGCCTAGCATGTGTTGTATCCCCAGGACCATGAAAATAAGTAAAATTAAAAGGTTTTTTCCCCTTGGCCCCACATTTCACTTTTTAAAAAGTTGTAGTCTTTTTAAAAATAGAAATGAGAGTCTATTTCTTTTCTTTCTTCTTCTTCTTCTTCTTTTTTTTTTTTAATGTATTTGGTACAGGGTCTCATTATGTAGCTTGGACTTGCAGTGATCCTCATGTCGCAGCCTCCCCAGCACTGGGATTACAGGTGTGCACCACCACACCTGGTCTCAGTGGCTGGCTCAGTGTGCCCAGGGCTGGGGCTGGTGCAGCATGTGGTGCTGGGGATGAAACATCGGGTTCCTGTGCTTGCCTAGGTAGGCGCCTAGTCTGCAGAGCTATCTTGCCAGTACAAGAGTCTATTTCTGAGGAAAGTAATTAATTTGTGGACATCTGGTTTTTTATTGCTTTATGCCTTGTAACATTATATACATAATTAATGTTCTTTGTTTTATAAAGTGTTTAGTAACAACTCTAATGAACACATGGAGTATTACCTATACCTGGTAAAAATTCAATTAGGGTAAAAGATTTATAATGAAAATTAAGCTTTCCTTCTGTCTTACAGTACTAGTTCCCTTCTCCAAAGGCTATGAGTATGCCTATAGTTTGTATGTCTCTTTGCATGCCACTGTGTCCATCTCTCAATTTTAGAAAACTAAGAATTGCAGTTGAGAGATTTAGAGTAACATAGTAATATTCATGTGGAAAGCAAGTTTATTATCTGTCAAAGAAAATGTACTTGAATATGAACAGCTAATTTGAAGACAACATTACGCAATACAACAAACACTGAAATTCATATTTTGTTTAGTGAAATTCTGTATCATTTGTAATTTTTCTGTTTTGTATTCTCTTTAAAAAATAAAAATTAAAAGAAAATGTACATGGGTGAAATATGGTACTTGATATCATAGTATTTTTTCTAAGAAAAAATATTTTAAAAGATCTGTCTGATACACATAGAGGATCTTAAATTTAAATTGTCCTTAAGTGATGGCAAATTAATAAATAGAAACTTGAAATGGAAAAATCTTTCTTCTTTAGCTTAAGGTACAGGTACACTATAGAAACTGTAAAAGTAAAAAAGTAACAGTGATTTTAATGTAGAATCACTTGGTCTAGTCATTTGCTTTCTTAAGCAGAAATTGAGAGGCAGTACATAAACTTTAAATATTGTAGTTTTAAGAGTTGTCATTGAGAATGCACTTCCATTCTTTACAGTAACACAGTTTATAACTAAATCTTGGAAATGGCCTAAATGCCCATCAACAATGAACAGATAAGGAAAATGTAGTCGGGGCTGGCGAGCTAGCTCAGCGGACTAAAGTGCCTGCTAGGCAAGCTTAGGCAAGCACAGGGACTGCTGTTTGATCCCCAGCACCACATGCCACTCCAGCCCTGCCCCAAGGTGGGCTGAGCCTGCCAGAGTTCAGGCTTAGTGGTGTACACCTGTAATCTCAGTGCTGGGGAGGCTGAAAGCAGGAGGATCACCATGAGTCTGAGCTGCATAATCAGACCCTGCACCAAATACATTTTAAAAAAAAAACAGAAAAGAGTATGTGGTAAGTGTACATAATAAGTACTACTCTGCTTTAGAAGAAGATGAGGTAGGGGGCTGGGGTGATGGCTTGGTGGAATAAGCACTTCCCTGACAAGCTCAAGGGCCTGAGTTCAATCCCTGGTTCCACCAAAAAAGAAAAAGATGAAGTAGAGGATTTCATCAGTAAACAGGTATACCTTGAGACCGTGATACTAAGTCAAACATACATACATACAAGCTTAGGTATCATATGGTATCTCTTTATCCTTACTTTTTCTTGAATGGATAGAACAAGAGATGGAGGTAGGTATGAGAAGAAAGGGGATAGAATTTTATTTAAAAAATGAATAAATGAAAATAGACCTTTTGCAAATGGAAGGGGGATCAAGAGCTGAAGGGAAAAGAGAGGAAGGGGAGGGCTAGCAGATTAAAAAAAATTTGTATTATGTACCTGTACCAAGTCCCTACAATAAATTAATCAGGATGTACTGCAAACATGTTCTAATAAAAATAAATTTTAAAAAATCAATTGTCATTGAGGAATTACTGCAAAGATTTTTAAAATAAAAATGTGTATTGATAATCAAATTTTGTAGTAAAAATCATCAGTTTTAATCTTCAACATGGTAAATTATGACTCTGTCTTTTATGGCCATTTTTTTCTTTTCTGTTTTAGCATACACATATCTCCTTAGAGTCTTAGTGAAGAATATTTCTTTGAGTATGATATCTCAAAATTTTCTTTTTCTTTCACAGATACAAAATCTTACCCTAATAAGTGTGGAGTTACATGCTCGAACTAGACGGGACTTAGAGCCAGATCCTGAGTTTGATCCAATCTGTGCTCTTTTCTACTGCATCTCATCTGACACTCCACTGCCAGATACAGAAAAAACAGAACTCACAGGTGTAATAGTAATTGATAAAGAAAAGACAATTTCTGGTCAAGGTATTGTTCATTTTTATTAAGGATATAGCTGTCTACTCTAGGATGATTCTTTTAATAAGGAGAATTTTGTCTTGCTCTCCTTTCTAAAATGTTTACTGAGGTAGGAATAGAAAGCTATAGGCAACTTTGTTCTTGATTCATTATTTTTACTTGATATATTGTCAAAAATCAGAAATGGGTTGGGGTGGTAGAGCACTTATCTACCATGTGCAAGGCCTTAGGTTCAGTCCTTCATCCTCGAGAATAAAAAGCAATGCAATATGAAGATGGTGAGACAGTTTCTAATTACCATATGTAATTTGATCTAAATATTATTTTATACTATTCATAGAGAATCCAGAAACTGGGTGTGGTGGTGCACACCTGTAATCCCAGTGCTGGGGAGGCTGTGTCAGGAAGATCACTGTGAGTCTGAACTGCATAGCAAGACCCTGTATCAAATAAATGAGAATACAATATGTAGGCTTAGGCAGACTTTAAGTTTTCATATGCAGATATTTTGCTGCAAATATAGAATTTCTCTTAGCTTTAGGAGATTCAGTTACTATTTTTAGTCACTTTATAAGAGTTTTTAAAAGATTTTTTAAAACTTTTTTGTGTCTTTCAAAATACATATAATTTGGTTCAGTTTCTTCAATAGGTATACTAAATCAGCACTGTATAAAGTGCATTTCTTTGCAGTTTTAAATGGCGACCATGACAAGTAAACTCAGTTTACCTAGAAAGAAGTCTGAGCACAGAACAAAGCTGTATAAACACTTTAAGTTTAATCATTGTTGTTCTTGAAATGGATCATACTAGCCGTGATCATACATCAGTCATGATTTCCTCATGAGCTTTTCAGGATAATTGATGTGATTTGTTTGTTTGAATTCAGCTATGGTGGGAAGGCCTGTATCATGGAAATATATAATGAAAAGCAGGACCTGTTTGTGGTCTTCCCCTGGCTTCCTTAGAAAAGAGGGGTTGTTGAACATTTTCTGTATACCTGTGATTAAAACATTCTGTTAAGCAAAGTTCTTTCCACTACAAAAACTGAACATAGAAATAAAGTAATGCAATTTTTTTGTAGGTGATATATCATTGTTTGTGGAATTTTGTGAACATAGGCTTTTTTCAGAGAATAACTAAAAATATGAAATTTGAATTTTTAATCATATCAAATATGAAAACATTTTAAGAAATTTTTCAAGAAAATAGTATTTTTACTGTGGAGAATATGTTCTTAATTTAAAATATATCAGTAGCACACTTTCACTCAAAAGTAAAAGGTGAAAGATTTATACAATCTGAAGAGAAACCAGATTTATATGATCTGAAGAGAGTATGTTCACTCAAAAGGGTTGTTACTTTTTTATAATGTTGCATTACAGTGTATAATATATTTAGCCAACATTTTGCTTATTTCTTAGATATCAGATATCAGACTCCATTACTTATCAGATCTGGAGTAACAGGATTAGAAGTTACATATGCTGCTGATGAGAAGGCACTTTTTCAAGAAATTACAAATATAATAAAAAGGTATTATCTTGTATTTTCTGATTTTTTTAAAGCCTTTCTTTGTCTAGTTTTTTCATGCTATTTCAGATATAATAGATAGTGGTATGAAAGAGAAACCAAACTTTTTCTGTGGCCTTCAAAAGTAGAGAATTATCTTTAGAAAGATTTTGTATTCAGAAGTAAAGCCATGCTGTTTTGTTGAGCTGTAGGGGACTCAGGTCAACAATTTCTGACATTGCCAGTGAAGCAGAAGACCCAATACTATTATGGACTGCTGGACTCTTAGAATATTTTGCTGAGTTAACACACCTATAATATTCAAATAATGGAACTTAACAAAAAAAGGGGATACAGATGAATGTCCATTTTTTATCCATGTATTCAAAATGGTTAGGATAGATATATAGTTACATTCTCTTAATGAACAGAGGGATTTGTTCTAATAGTGATTGTAAATAGGATATCATGTCCGCATCTTGTACAGCAATTAACCACTAGGAAGAATGTATGCAATGTGTTAATTATTGAATCTGTCCTACCAATTTGGTTTGAAACTGTCTCATTGCTATTTGTTTCTCAATAAAATAATGGAAAAAAATTTTAAAAAAGAAAGATTTTGTATTCAATCTCCTACCACCATCACCATTTCCATTAGATAAGAGACAAGGCAAGCAATATTCAGTTTATAAGATGAATGAGCCAGAGACAGAAAAATATTTGCTCTATGTATAACTTCTTGGTTGAATTTTAGGATGTTTTTTCTTTAGTGCTAAAATAAAAGTCAAACTTGGGCACTGTGTCACATGCCTGTAATCACAGCACACTGGGAGGCTGAAGCAGGAGAATCACAAGTTTGAGTCTTGTCTGAGTGACTTAGTGAGACTTTGTCTCAAAATAAAATAAGGAGGATCACTATGAGTCCGATCTGTGTAGTGAGACCCTGTAGACCCTGTACTAAATACATACATACATATAATATCTAAAGAAAGAGCTGAGGATATAGCACAGGCTTTTACCATTAAGCAGCCAGGTGGATTGGTTCTTTAATATATGTGTGGGAAACCTTCATATTTCCCATGCCTAATGGCCCTTAGAGCCACTTGATACTTACGTCCTAATTTCTCAAATGTAGCTGTTACACAGTCTTACAGGAAGATGCACTGATGTAGAGGTTTTTCATCTTTTCCCTAATGAGAGTGTTGTATTAGAAAACTAAGCAGGAAGCATGTTGGGATTCTTTTTTCTCAACTAGTCTGGGCTGCTTTTCTAGGTATTCACTTCATTGTTGTTTATTGTTTCACTTTTCCCTGCTCCTCTGTGATCATACTACAGTCTTGCTCTTTTTTCCAGAATTACCAGCCGTGTAGCATTCTCTACAAGAAAACACTTTTATGTAGGTTGGTGAGAAGATCCATTTGATTGTTTTATTAACCAATAATTATTTATTAAAGCAAGCCGTTTTCCTAGAAAGTATAGCTCTGTTTGTAAAGAGAAAAGCACATAATATTTACATTACTTTTTCCTCTTAATGTTCAGGGCTACTCTGCAAGTCTAGTATAACTAGATCATGAGCTGATCATGGCACATTAAAATTGACATTATTTAATTACTTCCACAGGGCCTTCAGTAAAGAATAAATAAAATAGGATGTTTTTGCAGAGATTTATACCTAGGTTCATTTGTATTAGTCACTTAAATACTTTAGAATTAAAAATAAAACACTTTCATGGCATAATGATTTTTCTTGACCAAGTCAAAGCTAAAGCTTATTCAGTATCTCCTTTATGGAAGTTCGATAAAATACTAGCAAACTATTTTCTGAAATTTAGGCTTGGTGATTTGTTCATGGTCTGTTGTTATACCAAAGAATCGCATAAGGGAGTAGCCATAAGTGGCTTATAGTAGTAAATTAGTGTGATCTAATGCTTTAGGCAGTGGTTGATGCTCAGGATATTGATATAATTTGGGCAAACTATATCCCACAGGAATTGTTACATAGAATCCAAATTAATTTATTTTGGTGATTGTTCACTTTACCTTAGAGTATTTATACAGAACACAAAAATCAGACTAGGGCAGGGGAAATAGCTCAGTAGAATAAGCACCTTCAAGGCAAGCACAAAGTCCTGAGTTCAATCCCTGGTACCACAAAAAAAAAAAAAAATTGAAGTTCTTGAAAAAACTACTATCTTCTGTTCTCAAAACTTGTCACTGTGATCAGTTATTCTCTTTCCCACATAATTTTTCCTTTGAAGTAAATCTCCATGTTTATTTTCCCTCATACGATAGCCAAACATTTCTTTACAACCTGGAGGCTTGAAGAGGAGCTACACAGAGGCTCTTTTTGAGTTAGGTACAGGTCGTCATTACAGCCGTACTAGCATAATTGTGACCACAGTGAGCACATTTTCTCTTAGCTGCTAATTCTTACCTTCGCCGCATTAACTTCATACTATTGGTACTTCAATTTGCCATTAGATTGAGACATGTATCTCTTGAGTTGAGAGGACAAACTTGTACATTACTTGGCCTTTATGTAAGAATCAAATGATTCTAAAATTAAGAAAAAAGGGTGCTTTCATTTTATTTCTCAGCATTAAAATATGTAAGGACTATCAAACTGCTAGGGTTAGAAGGAAAAATGGCAGAATGACTAGATCTTTTACCAAATACTATATCTACATATGCCCTCATGCTTCACCCTTCCTTACTCATAATAGCAATCAAACTCTCACTCATAATTTCTACCAACTTCTTTCCCAAATCATATCAAAAAATACAATCTTAGTAAAACTATATTCACTTTACAAAATGATTTAAATCAAGTACTGTGTCCACCCATTCCTTCTGGAAGTACCATTGTATCATCCCTTTACCACCTGCAAACAATTATTTTTTTTATCATGAAGAAACAATTCTTCTTGTTAAAGATCCAAACATGCAGTCTTTGCATAATGTTTTCTTTCATTTCTTAGGTATGATCCTGATATTCTGCTAGGCTATGAGATTCAGATGCATTCCTGGGGCTATCTCTTACAAAGAGCTGCTGCCTTAAGTGTTGACTTGTGTCAGATGATCTCTCGTGTGCCAGGTATGTAGAGTTCTGTTTTATGGAAATACAGAGCAAATTATAAAGTAGATAGAGACAAAATCTTGAAAAAGCACCATTGTCCTAGATCACTTTTAATATTAAATTAGGTGGCATAACTCCATTATAGAAAAATTTTAAAATCAAGAAAAGTAAAATTTCCCAGTTCCACTCATATATATGATGTTAGTACATTTGCTGAGGGGGTTATTCCCCCCCCCCCATTTTCAGTCATTTTTGTAAATAGGTCTTTTAAAATATAACTTTATTCATGCAATTTAAAAATACAATGTATGTGGCAGCACTGACAAAAGTTCTACAATCTGAGGTACTGGATCTCAGGATAAATCCTGAGGGCATTTCACTGACCTTCTCAGACCCAAAAGCTACAACTCTTGTTGCATAGGTCCTGCTTTACCTTGGTCTTAACCATCCAGTAGAAAAGTATGAAGACGAAATATAGGAACTAAAGCCATGTTGTTATGTTGAGCTGTGGGGGACTCAGGTCAATAATTTCTGACATTGCCAGTTAAACAGAAGACCCAATGCTATTATGGGCTACTGGACTCTTTTAGAATATTTTGCTGAGTTTATACACCTATAATATTCAATAATGGAACTTAGGAAAAATGGGGTATACCGATGAATGTCCATTTTGTATCTGTGTATTCAAAGTGGTTAGGATAGATATATAGTTGCATTCTCTTAATGAATAGAATGATTTGTTCTAATGGTGTTTGTAAATAGGATCTCAAGTCCGCATCTTGTACAGCAATTAACCACTAAGAAGAATATATGCAGTGTATTATTTGTTGAAACTGTACTTCCGATTTGATTTGAAACTGTCTCATTTGAAATTTGAAATTGTCTCATATGTTTATCAATAAAATTTTGAAAAAAAATTAAAAAAAAGAAAATGCATTTATTAAACCATAAGTATACATAAGGATTTGTGAAAGTGATTTAAGTAAGAATTTTTCGTCTGGAAATAAAATATACCATTTAAGGAAATGCTAAAAAAAAATACAATGTATGTATTTTTATTATGCTTCTTTCATCCAGCATCCTATTGTATTTTCTTGGATTATGAGACAGTCTTTATTATCTTTAGTTGATGCATAACATTTCTTTGATGATTACTTTCATAATATTCTGTGTGTCTGGTTCTGTTTTTTGTCTTGACTGGTAAAGAAGGACAAGAAGGAAAGGAACTCTGTCTTCATTCTCTCATTGCTGAGACAAAATACTGGACACCCAAATTAAAGAGGGAAAGGTTTATTTAGTTTGCAGTTTGTAGAGGTTTCAACCCATAATCAGCAGGCTCCAAAGCAGGGTGGCATGGCGCAGGAGCAGCACTTCAAGGCAGCAGAAAACAGCAAAAGCAGCAAGAGCAAAAAGGCAGGGGAGAGCACAAGCCTCTGAGGTTAATTAATTGTTGATTTTAATTTGAATATCAGACTAAAAAAAATTACATGAATTCTGAAGGCTATTGCCAATGGCTTAATTTTCTCTAAAGAGGGAGAGTAGTATTGATGCCAAAATTACTTTCTAGAGCACATTTCAAAGGTGTATTTTCTCTATAACTGTAGATTTTTAATGAATTTGTCTTGAATGTTCCCTGCAAGTCTGACCAGAAGAAAGTAACATCTACTTTGGGAGGCTGAAAGGCAAAATGCAAAATTAATCATAAGACCACCTTGGAGAGGTTATGACTTCAGTAAAAGTGTCTCAGATGTTGATAAATTTTAATGAAAATATTAAAGTTGTAAGATTCAAGGACAGTAAATATTTTGAGATAGCTCAGTTGTCTAAGTGCCTGCCTGGCAAATGCAGGGTCCCAAGTTTGATTCCCATTATCACATGCTTTGCCAGCCACCATGCAGACATGCACCTGTAATCCCAGCCCTGGGGAGACTGAGACAGGAGGATCACTATGAGTCCAAGCTGTGTAGTGAGACCCTGTACCAAGTACATAAATAAAAGATTTTTTAAAATACTAAAAAAAAAAAACCAGTGATACTTTTTTGTAACAGTAATACATAACATTTTTCAGCATCTTTTGGGATAGGCTTCTGAATACTGGGGACAGGCGGCACTAGTATTTAGGTGCTGTTGTTAATTACTTTAATCAGTTGTAACCATTAAGGGATATGACATGGATAAGAAGAGCAAGTGAAAACTCATGTCTTGTTGGCGAATGTATCTCAGTTAAAGTGCCTGCCTAGTATGTATGAGGCTCTAGGTTCAGTCCCCTGTACCACAAAGAATTTAGAAAGCTCATGTCTTTTCACAATCATCGTTGAAACTTTTTATGAGACAACGTAGCACAGTAGACAAGACGATTACAAAGGCAGCATGGTTGGCACAGATTGTAGAGAAAAATTACTAGGTGCAACTCTGGGCTACATGTTGTTAGGAAAATTTCTTAGCCACTCTGTGCTTCAGTTTATTCATCTGTAAAATGGAGAGAATAACAAACTTACAGGATTATTGGGAAGTATTTAGAACTGTGGTTGAAAATAGAAAATAGTGTTTTTGCTAAATGAAAAATAGCTTTTAAATATCACCTCTTTAACATAAAGAAATAAGAAATGGGTGAGTGTACATGACCTTTGGAGTGACGTAACCCTGGTTTAAAATCAGTTATGAGAAAAATATTAGTTCTCTTGTTGTACAACCCAGGACAAGATCTGTTCCTAAGTAAAACATACTGCAAGGTAAAACTTAAAGTGTCGCTGAATTAAAATAAAAGAGGTAAGGTTAGGAAAGCCCCTAGAACATAATAGATATATAACATATGATAAATGTTACCCTATAACCACTAATCAACAGAATTTACCTATACCTAGAGTTATATAGAAGAAATATTTTAATTTCTATTCTAGGTAAAATCACTACCTAAAAAATTAGACTTAGACCAGGTGAAGTGATACATCCCTATAATCCAGCCATATGGAAGTCTGACCATAGAAAATTGTAAATTTGAGGCCAGGCTGGGCAATTTAATGAGACCCTGACTCAGAAAATAAAAAGAACTGGAGATTGGAGATAGGTCATTGTCAGTGATAGAACATTCATTCCTCCATTGGCTACCACTTGCTTCTGTCTGTACTATGAGAGAGTGAAAGAAAAAGGGTTTGGGGGTTGGAGAGGGAGAAAGGGAAGGAAAGAAGGAAGGAGAGAGAAACTAGTCTCAGAATTCTATTTGCTATGAGGAATTCCTTGTCTAGTTCCCCATACATGGTTAGAATTTTTGCTGTGGATCAGAACCACTCCTTACCCCCACATATGAGAGACAACAGTATACAGTAAATAGAAAAAGAAAGAATATATTTTCAAATATATTTATTTTACAGAATTGTTTTATATTAAGTAAAATTTGTTTTTATTACTCAAAATAATGATTATTCTGAGTCCAAGATAAAAGAGACTGTAAATTATATTCTACTTTTAATTTTTATCCTTATTTTCTGGGGCATAATTTACTTGAAAATTTGTTTGCTGTGAATACTGATATAATCTATGTTTCTGTAGATGACAAAATTGAGAACAGATTTGCAGCTGAAAGAGATGACTATGGATCAGATACCATGAGTGAGATAAATATAGTTGGCCGAATTACACTAAATCTTTGGAGAATCATGCGAAATGAGGTAAAGTATTTCATGTAAAATTTTGGAAATAAAGAGATTAGATCAATGTAATAATCATTATATAACATTAGTCTGATATAGTACATAGCTTTTTCTATGGGTTATTTTTATTATGCCAGAGTTACAAAATACTACTTTCTAACACACAGAACTACAGAGGTGTTAAATCTTAATGTTATTAATGATTTAATTTTTTTCTATAATTAGAGCTACAATAAAATCTGTTATTATATAATTTCATTTTTTTTGTACTTAAGTGGGATAAATTCAGTTTGGCCTTGTTGATTTGTTATAGTTGATCAATTTGGAGCTGGTGCTGTTCTTTTGGGCCTTATCACATAGTTCTATCAAATAAGGAAATGTATTCTTTATATGAAATTTAGATATACCATTTCCTCTTACTTCTTCTTTGTACCATGAGCTAAAGTTATGCTCACATTTCATATCATTTTAAAATGTATGTTATGCACAATTAAAAGGAAAGCGAGAACTTGAGGATTGGACAACGAGGAGAGGGCAAGGTGAAAAGCTGGGAAACAGGACAGGGACAAAACCATACATTTATGGGCAAGGCAGTGATCCTGAGAAACATCAGCAGGTTTTTGAAACTAGCAGTTAATTGGGAGGATTCTCACCCTGACTAACTGTACATGCTGGTACCTGTGAACCAAGCAACTGCACTGAAGATAGCAATGTGTAATAGAAGGGTCATGCTTGGAATGCCTGTCATTCGGGTCTTCTAAATACATACTTCTTGTCATGACATACCAGTTATTACCATACTATCTCACAAGTAAAAGTTTTTGTTTTTTTTTTAAAGACACAAAAAAAAAGAAAAAAAAAGTCACAGGACTGTCCTGCTACAATGCAGTATATGACTAGATTTCTAAATTTCTGTGTAAAAATATGTAATTATTTATTCATATTCTTTAAGTATTTTTCATTTTTTAAATTTTTATCTCCATAGTCTGTAGGGACTTGATATTTAACATATCAATACTTGATGGAAAATACCTGTTCCATGTTATGCCTAAGATGTTTGATATTCAGACAGATAGTGAAGTTAAACCCAACTGCATATGTTGTAGGGTAATAATAAGCTTCTCTTCTGGAGAGTTAGCAACCTAAGTTTGCAGACCAAAAATTAGAGAAATAGGGGCTGGGGAGATGGCTCAGTAGAATAAGAGCTTGCCTGGCAAGCACAAGCACCTGAGTTCAATCCCCGGTTCCACCAAAAAAAATAAATAAATAAACATAAATTTAAAAAAAAAAATATATATATATAGAGAGAGAGAGAGAGAGAAATAGAAGGGCAGCAAGGACAGCCAGCATTTTGACCATAGCCTTTCAAGGTCAGTGAAGACTCAGGACATAGGAGAACCTATACTGTAATATCATGTAACTCAATTGTGTCCCAAATTTTCTGATCAAGGAGATTATGGGGCCACAGAGCAGCATGATAGATGATGTAGAGTATGCCTAAGGAGAATCACCTGGAGAGAAAACATTCTCTCAGCCTTTCACAGAGAGCAAATTGGTTAAACAATGGCTATCACTCATCCACATGGCTGACACTGACAGAGGATCTGCAACCCGTGGTACAGGGTTACAGGATAAATCCTGAGGAGACTTGACTGACCTTATCAGATACAAAAGTTACATTTCTTGTTATATAGGTCTTGCTTTATCTTGGTCTTAACCATCCCCAGAAAAGTATAAAAATGAGGTATATAAAGTAAAGCCATATTAGTATGCTGAGCTGTGAAAGGCTCAAGTCAACAACTTCTGTGGATAACCCACTAGTATTGTGGACTGCTGGACTGTGTTGGATTGTTTTCCTGAATTCACGAACCTATAGTATTCAGATGGCAATGGAATACCCATTTCTGACAGGACTAAACAAAAAACGGGGATGCAAAGGAAGGACCATTTTGTATCTGTATATGCAGAATAGTTAGGATAGATATACAGCTACTTTCGCTTCATTCAATGAGAAGAAAGATTTGTAGTAATAGTGTTTGGACAGGATATCCTGTCTGCATCTTGTACTATGGATAACCGCTAAGAAGATAACAATGTACAATGTATTAATTATTGGAACTGTTCTATTAATCAGTTTTGAAACTGTCTTATTGCTATTTGTTTCTCAATAAAATAAAATAATATCCCCGGTTCCACCAAAAAATAAAATAATAAATAAAATGTACGTTATGGGCTGGCTATATAGCTCAGCAGTACAAGCACCTGCCTGACAAATGCAAGGTCCTGAGTTCAATTCCCAGTTCCAAAAAAGTAGCATAACGTAACATAACATAATCTGCTTGAGGATAACTTTTTTGTGTTCTTAAAGTATCATAATGTAAGAGTCAGTGCACAAGAATTTTAAAATCATAGTGACATAAAGCATGAAAAATATAGATAATGATATATTTTGTGTATATGTTCATATGTATGTATATATGTATATGTTTTACAGTCTTCATTTAAACTGCAGTCTGGTATTTCCTGAGATGAACACATGAATCAAATATATAAACAGAGAAAAAATTATTGAATGTTGGGGCCAGGGAGATGGCTCAGTGGAATAAGCGCTTGCCTGGCAAGCACAAGGGCCTGAGTTCAATCCCTGGTTCCTAAAAAAAAAAAAAAAATTATTGACTATTAGTTTTAGGGGTCTTTTTATCCTTGAGTACTCAAAAGACAACAGAAGCAAATTGAATGTTATTTTAAAAATCACAAATTAAGATTATTTTCAAAGTTTAGGGCCTTCTGTAGCCTTTGCTAAAACTTCAGGGTCAAAGATTTCTCTAGTTCTGGTGTGTGTGTGTATATAGCATTTCTCATTGTTTATAAGTGTGAAGAACAACCATGAGGAAGTTAGGAGTTAGATAATTTACCCCCCTTTCTAGATGCAGTTATATATAGTGTCATTTTTTCTTCCTAATTGGAAATATTCCTGGCATTCTGGCAATTTTTGTGAAATCCTGTATGAATTTTGTTAGTGTACTGTTGTGTATCAAGAGTAATGTCAAGAGTTAGAACAAAAGCTGGCCTTCAGATTTTTTTTCATATTAGAGGCTGTTTTCTGGATTTGAATAGTACCATAGGCTCCTTTGTATCTTTTATCTGAGTCTTTCTAATGACACTTAGCAATTTTTAACTTATATCATTGTTTTTAAATCTTCATAGTTTGTTCTTACAAATAAGATAATTAAAAATAATGTGGCTGCGTATGGTAGTGCACACCCACTTGGGAGGCTGAGGCAGGAGTGGGCTAAGGTAGAAGGGTTGCAGTGAATTTGAAGACAGCCTGAACTCCATTGTGAAGCCCTCTCTCAAAAAGATGAAAAAAGAAAAAGAAAAAATGGTAATATGTTTATAATAGTAAAACAAAATTAAATGCAGAAAAATATGTAAAATGAAAGTGAAACTCTTCTGCTGTAAGTTATCTATTCAGCAGTTGCATTTCCTAGACAATAGTTTACAGTGAGAAAAGGTTATGTTGTTTTCCTGTACCTAGAGTTTTATTTCTTAATATAGTCATTCTCACTCTTCCTGTGTAACTCTGACTGTGGAATTCCAGCTATTTCCCCTTGACTGTGGATCCTTAGATACTGCTTTGTTGTTGTTATAATGTATTTAGTACAGGGTCTCACTACATAAATTGGACTCGGAGTGATTCTCCTGTTCTCAGCCTTACAGGTGTGCGCCACCACACCCAGTCTTTTCTTTTCTTTTCTTTCTTTCTTTTTAATAAATCAGGTTCACTTTTTTTTTTTTTTTTTTTTTTGGTGGTACTAGGCATCAAACTCAGGACCTTGTGCTTGTCAGGCAAGCACTTATTCCATGGAGCTATCTTCCTGGCCCCTTGCTTCTTAAATAGGAATATTTATTGAACATTTGTTAACTGCTTGCTTAAATTAAAGAACATATAACTGTTCCCCACATTATACTTACAGGCCTTCTGGATTATCAGTTTAATTGAGGCCTTTTAAAAATTTGTCAAATGAGGGGCTGGTAAGATGGTTCTAAAGCACCTACTTAGAACAAGATTGGCAAAGCACGGGGACCGCGGTTCAATCCCCCAGCACCAAATGCCGGCCAGCCCTGCCCCCTGGTGGACTGAGCTGGATACACACACACACACACACACACACACACACACACACACACACAAATAAATAAATAAAAATTTGTCAAATGAGTTAGAAACAGACTTTATTCAATTTGGCAAATACTGAGTGTTACTACTGGTCCACAGATGGACTGGCCTTTGCTTGGGTAAAACACATAGTTAGTTCCTTTGTTGTTACATACAAAGAGAATACTGTATGGATGGTTATTTGAGTCTGTGGAGGTTCTCTACATCTGTTTTCTTAGTCAATTAGGAATTACTGATTACTAAGACGAGAATTGTGGAGAGGCTTTTTGAAGAGTATAAAATACTAGTCTAAGACAATTTGAGAGTAATTATGAAAATACAGTGTAAATGCTAGGTAGCATTTAAAAGTCTAATTGAGATTTGCATCAGAAAATTAAAGTGATACCTGTCAGTTATTTTCAGCCTCACAGATGGAAATTAAGAACAATAAAAGGCTACATTTGACCATTGTACCAGGTTGTTTTTTTTTTTTTCATTTCTATTAGGAACTTACATATTAACTGTCTACTCTCAATATCTACCCTATATATTCATTCTCTCATCATTTTCATCTCTTTGCCTTCCTTATCTACATTCTAAGAAAGCATCACTGTCAGGTTTACCCGGCCCCTCAGTAACTTGATTTTTAGTTTATCTGTCCTGCTGTTTATTATTTTCAGTGTGTATTTTCATTCTGCTTTTAGAGTTATCCAGCCTTACTATCTTTTTGCCTTTCCCAGTTGCCTTTGCTACCTCTTATGCATTTTGTCAGGGTGTGTGTGCATGTATGTGTGCAAGTATACACTATGATATATACTGCTTTCCCATGTTGCCATTGTGGAGACTGAAAGCAAAAACAGTTTGGTTTACTGTCTTGAGACAAGATTAACATTCAGTTCCTATTTTGTACTGTCTCGATTTTTTTTTTTTTTAATTTTGTATTTTAGGGAAAGCTCTACAGGGTGTTCAGGGTCTCACTACTAGATGGGACTCATAGTGATCTACCTGTTTACAGCCTCCCAAGAGCTGGGAATACAGGCACACACCAAGGAATGTTTGAAAGTAGATATAGAAAGAGAAAAAAAGCAGCTTGTTTAACAGTGCTTCTGTCAGTATTTGAACAGGCTTAGTGCATAAAAAGAATTCATAATAATTGGAATGTCTGGGCCAGGGAGATGGCTCAGTAGAATAAGTGCTTCCCTGGCAAGCGCAAGGGTTTGAGTTCAATCCCTTGTTCTGCAAAAAAAAAAAAGAATTGGAATGTCTGAATTCCCTGCTTCCAGTGATCCCTTGGCCTGAGGTCTGAAGCAATGATGATCGTAGGTGTGTTAGAAGGACTCTTCATGCATTTGAGCTGAGTCATGTTCATGGCAATTTGGGGGTAACCTGCAGCTCAACATGGCCCCTGGTTAGGATGGATCAATAGCCTCTGGTGGATAAACTCAAATCCAGCCCCATGAGCTTACTCTGTGTCATGTAGCCTTTCTTATTTGAAATCACTTATATTCAATCTTGCTGTAGCGTCAGAATGTATGAACAACAACCAGATACTTTCATTGAAACTTCATTCATAGAATTTAGCAGCTTTAGATTTTTCTCTCTACCTCCCCATAACATGCTTCATTCCAACACAATTTCCATTGAACTTTACAATGAAAAGAAGAGCCTAGCCATAAACCCAGGGGAGTGGGACAAATGTGGCCAGAAATCCCTCTAGAAGTGTCATCTCAAGGCAGTTGTCCTTATTGGACCATAGAAATTTCACTGTTTTTATTATGGGGAGGGATTTAAACTGTAAATTCTGGACCATAAAGTGAACATTTTGCTGTTTCTTAGGTGTTGGATAATTACCTCAGGAGATTATTTTTTACCTTTTTCATTTAATATGATCTTTTAAAATGAAAAAATTACTGTCCATATTTATGACATCTTTGAGTATGACAAGGACTTCAGATTTTAAGTTTGAAAAAGGCAATTTTAAAGAAAAAAACTTTTGTAATTCTTAATAAAAAATAAAAGGAAAAAAAAAAGAATTAGAGTCTCTAAAAGTATTACATAACCAAGGTGAATATCACTGGGTCTGTTCTTTTCTGATTATATATTGTTAATGAATATTTTTATCTAGTTTGCTACTTTTAAATTATGGTTCAGTGGCAACAAATCATTTTTACAAGTAGCTTTCATATCTACTATGAAATATTTAAAGCAATAATGGGATTTTTTACACCAAATTTGTTACATAATTATAAGTATTATTATAATGGTGCCTTTATTTATTTATTTATTTATTTATTTAATTAGGTGGCTCTAACTAACTACACCTTTGAAAATGTGAGCTTTCATGTTCTTCATCAGCGATTTCCCCTCTTTACCTTTCGGGTCTTGTCAGATTGGTTTGATAACAAGACAGATCTATACAGGTAATATTTTACTACTCTGAAGACAGTAATGTCTCTTTAAAAATGAGCAATATTAAGATATATGTCATGTATAATAAAATGCGCAAATGTAAAATGTATTGTTCATTGACTTTGAAAAATGTATTTATTCTAAAACTACCACTCCTGTATGATAAAAGAACATAGCTAATACCCACAAAATTCTCTTAAGCAAAACTTGTGGTGAGCCTAACCATCCAGGTAAGTACTAATTTTATTTCTTTTTACTATAGATTACTTTTGCCTGTCCTAGAGCTTGATGCAAATAGAAATATTCATAATTTTCCCTTATTGTCTAGCTTTTTTGAAGAAACTCTACATAATGTTGAGATTCTGATGTTATGTAAAGCCATGTGGAGATTCAGCATGTTGCATGTTGCATGTTCATTTTTATTACTGAGTGATACTCAGTTATATGAATATACCGTAGTTTATTCATTCACCTATTATCAAACATATGTATGGTTTCTAATCTGATGCTACTGAGGATGAAACTAATAAATATTTCCGTGTATATCTTTGTGTAAACATACATTTTCATTTCTACAGGGGTGGAATTGCTGGGTGGTCACATGATTAGTGTGTGTTAACATTTTAGGAAACTACCAGTCTGGTTTCTTTGGCAGTTTGTCTCTTGCAAGTTTGCTAGAAATAAATTCTTTCAACCCTTATTTATCTGAAAATATCTTTATTTTACCCTTATATTTGAATGATATTTTCACTGTATCATTCTAAGATTGAGCTTGTTTTTGTTTCTGTTTCACTATTTGAAACAGAATGAAAATCAAGGGCTGGCCAAATAGTTCAGCAGATTAAAGCCCCTGCTTAGGCAGACGCAGGGGCCAGGAGTTCGATCCCCAGGCACGCTGAGACAGTGATTGAGACTGGGCATGGTGGCACACGCCTGTAATTCCCAGTACTTGGGAAGCTGTAAACAGGAGGAACACTATATGCCCAATCTATGCAGTGAGACCCTCTAGACCCTGCCCTAAAATACAAAAAAAAAAAAAAGAATGAAAAAGAAAATAATTTGTTTTTTCTTCTGACCACTCTTATTTCTGATGAGAAGTGAAGGGTTTCATTTTTCCAATATATGTAATTCATTTATTTTAAAATTAAGATTTAATGAGCTACAGTTGCTTTCTGCTGTTGTATATAAGACGTATAGTAGAGTTGGGGCAGTATCTTAGTGCTGGTCCAGCCTTACTCTTTGGACATTGCTATTTTTCCCTTCTTGCCGGGATGGGGTTTTCTCAGCATTCCTGCCTTTCTTACAATGGCTGTAGAGCTCTGCTTGGGTCTTGGGCCCAAGCAAGTTTCCAGATCCTTCTCTAGGGGCAGATTTTTTTGTTCTCCTTCCTCAGCAATACTGTTGCTTTGCTGAAGTTAAAGGATGGAAGCTTTCCTGTTACTTGCTTAATGAGTCTTGTGTTTTTTACTTGATGTCAGCTCCATGTTGGAAAGAGAAGCATATAGGCCCAAAGTATTCCCTAATCTCTTGATCTTGCAAAACTCAGTCTCTAAATTCTGTCCCCTGTGCATATTGTCAGTGCTTTGTTTTAAATTCTGTATCTAGAGTAGACCTTATAGAGCAAGCGCTTCCTAGCGTGAACTTTTTCTGGGTTCTTAAGCTGTATGTTCAAGTTGTTAGCAAGAGATTAATGAGGTCACTTCACTTTAGCATGTCTAGGGCTCCAACCCCAGCACTACCTGAGCAGTTCTGCCCAAACTCAATCCCAAGGAGCTATTCCTTTGTAAGCCTCTTGTAATTTCATTCTGCTGCTTATTTGCAACTTGGTTACTCACAGGGACCTGTACCTAATATTACTAAATTAGAGAACTCATAATACCAGAGTGATTTTATCTCTTACCCGGGGAATAGCTATAAGACATAACAGCAGTTGCTGAGCTAGAAACCATGTCCTGGGAGCACATAATAAAATAAGTTCTTTTCCATTTCCTGGATATAGACCTAAACCCTAGAAAAAGTTCAGAATAAATGAATTGTTTACTTGTAATTCTCACATCTGCTTTTTGTCACCTTTCCCCTAGATGTCCTATCTCAAAAAATACTCTGTATCCTTAGAATGGCCAACGCACCTCAGGCCTGTCTTGAGTAGTTTATGCTTTATAATTCTATCTCCTTTCCTTTCCCCAAATCAAGATTGGTGTTTGCTTACAGACAAAATATTAGGATGACATAATTATTTAAAGGTAACTGAAAAACAGTAATGAAGTTCAGCTGTTAAGAGCTGTAGTTTAACTATTTTGTAATAGTAATAATAACAATAATTTTATCACTAGCCAGATAGGACACAAAAAATAGTCTTAATTCAGAAGATCACTTTTAAATTTTAAAAACCCACTTTATTAATACTTTTAAAAGTATTTGTCAGGCCCAGTGAGATAGCACCATGGACTGAGCACCTGCTTAGGCAAGTGCAGGGACTGGGATTCTGTTGCCAGCCCCAGCTGTAGGCGCACCAAGCTGGCCACCAAGACCAGGCACAGTGGTGCACACCTCTAATCCCAGCACTGGGAAGGCTGAAAATAGGAGGATCACTAGAAGTCTAAGCTGCATAGTGAGACCTGTACCAGATATATTAAAATAAATAAATTTTAAAAAAGTATTTGTCTAAATAATTTTAATATTAATGCCTATAAGATAAGATCTAAAAACACTGTAAATGTTTAGTTTTTTTAATTTTACAGTATAAAAGACACATTATGATTAATCTCAACTCAGGATACTTGCCCTTTGTTTGCTGATACTTAGCACATCATTCCTGTCACTTTTGGAGGTACTTTTGGAAGTCCTCTTTTCATATGTGTGTGTATATATGTATATATATTTGTGTATATATATATGCTAATAAATTCCTTGTTAAATTAATCTTTAATTATGAAAGTTAAGTGTTTCATGTGGAAACTACTTATCCAGTGAAGAAGACATTAACTACTTATCCAGTGAAGAATACATTGGTACCACATGAAATGAATAATAGTGAGATAAAGAAGTTGCAGTGATGCTAGAGATCCAGAGTTATTTATAATATATAATCTTGCTTTCTTTTGGCCATATTGTTTTTACTTAATCTATTTTTCATAATTTGACTCACAGCTCAGTTTTCAATGTAGTAGGTTTATAACTTTAGACAAATTGACCTTATAAGTAATCTTCACTTTCCTTGTGTGTAATTTAGAGATGTTAATACATTTTATTTCATAGTATGCAGTGAGCATTAAACAAGATAGTACATGTAAAATCTTTAGTTCACATAAGGCACTCCGTAAATGTTAATTGATTTGTATAACTTATTTTCAGGAATAGAGAATTGGATTCCAAATGAAATGGGAAAATAATAATTAATATAATTATTATGTATTGGATTCTTGCTTTTATCTAAAACCTTTTACCATCCTTGTTATTATCACTGTTTTACATGTATGAAAACTGAGGCCTAGAGTGTGAAATGGTTTGACTACTGTCCCATAGTAGTTTGTAATAGAGCTGTGATTAGAATCTAGAATGGGGATCGGGAAGATGGCTCAGTGGAATAAGCGCTTCCTTGGCAAGTGCAAGGGCCTGAGTTCAATTCCCAGTTCTGAAAAAACAACAACAAAAAAAACCTAGAACTGTCTGACTCTGTAGTCTGTGCTCTCTGACAACATGAGATAATCTAGTAGGTTATATTTCTCAAAATGTGCTACCAGCCATTCTGTTAAATGTGTGCATATATATATATATATATATATATGCATTATATTTAGAATAGTAAAAATATATCTTTTGGGGCTGGAGAGATGGCTCAGTGGTCTAAAGCACCTACTTAGAACAAGCTTAGCTAAAGCACAAGGACCGCGGTTCAATCCCCCAGCACCACTTGCCAGCCAGCCCCGCCCCCTGGTGGGCTGAGCTGGCCACACACACACTAAATAAAATCTAAAAATAAATAAATAAATAATTTAAAAAAATATATATATATATCTTTTAATATATAGTAGTATTTAGTACATATATTTAAAATATTTATTTTAATACATAATAGCATTTCGTACATGTAAGCTATAATAATAGGCTTTTGTCAGAGAATATAGTTGATTTTCAAATCAATTTAAACTGAAGTCTTGAAAATTCAATTTAATCATTTATATTTAAAGTATTCAGTATGTACATAGATTGAGTTTCACCGTTTTCTCCTAGAAACATACTTGAGTACCTCAGTAACAAATATCAACAAAATCAAAACTAACAACCATGAAAAATCATTTTCAGTGCCTGCGAAATAGCTCAGTCGATTGAAGTGCCTGCAAGCAGGCACAGGGGCTGGCCCTGCCCCCTGGGGCTTGCTGAGACAGCAATTGAGACTGGGCATGGTGGTACGTGCCTGTAATCCCAGCTCTTGGGAGTCTATAAACAGGTGGATCACTACAAGTCCATTCTGGTAGTGAGACCCTGAACACCCCATATCTAAAAATACAAAAAAAGAGAATTTTCAACAAAACAGCTAATATGTTTGCTATATTATATGCTTCTAAATAAGTAAAGAAAACATGGGTATCAGACATAAACAGCAAATCTCAAAGGAAAAAAACAAAATGGTTGACATACTCAAATAATAGTCCACCTCATATACATTTTGCAAATGAATATCTGATTTCCTAATTGTACTGTGAATTACAAAAACTTTGGCAAGATCACTGAATAATATTAACAATAATAATACGTTAGGATGAGGGAAACAATGAAGATAGAATTAAATAAAGTTTATTTAACAACATAACTTTTAAAATATTGTCCAAAATAATTTATCACTAACATACTACAGCACATACTTCATATCTCTCTTGAATCGCTACCTTTGACCTTTCAAGCAAAGTTCATGCTCAACATCATTATCTGTTAAGACAGACTCATATGTTTTATGTTGTGTTTAATTTTCTAATAGGTCATTATTGGTTTTATTTGCACTATTTTCATAAATCTTAGAAAGATGGTTGTGCCCTGCCTGGTGTTTTCACAAAATATAGTATTAGTTCATTATTTTGGTGTCTCTCTCTCTCTCTCTCTTTTTTTTTCCCCCGGAACCAGGGATTGAACTCAGGCCCTTGCACTTGCCAGGCAAGCGCTTATTCTACTGAGCTATCTCCTTGGCCCCTATTTTGGTGTCTCATTTGACACATTTCTCTGGTTCTGCTCTCTGCTACATATTGAAGGGGCAAAAATGTAAGTACGTCTGTTTTCTTGCACTAACCCAGAGATCTGCCTCTGCTTTTTATGTAAGGCTTCAGCTAGTAAGTCCATTTTGTTTGTTTTAGGGAAACACTGAAACACCTGTACAAAGACTTAGGTATAAAAACACTTCTAAAAGAGCTGCAGTCTAGCTCATTGGTAGAGCTTTGGCCTAGCATGTAAGATGTCCAGGGTTCAGTCCCAAGTACTAAAAGGAAAAGAAAGGTTCCTCCAGAGCAGTTCTCGTGGTAATAAAATATTTAGTAACAATGATGCAAGCTGAATATATTGTGTGATAATCATTCAGTAGTATAAACCATGCCTGTAAAAATACAAATGTAAATAAATAGTTACAATATGTTAATCTAAAAATACAAGATACAGGTCCAGGGAGATAGCTCAGCAGCATAAGCACCTGCCTTGCAAGCACAAGGTCCCCAAGGTTGATCCCTGGTACCGCAAAAAAAAAAAAAAAGTTACAAAGCATTTCTATTTTGTTTCAGAATTGAGTACAACTTAGGGTATTTTTATGTTTACTAATTCTCTTTAATAATTTTATTTAGATATAATTTGTGTGCTGTACAGTTAACCTATTTAAAATATACTTTAATGGCTTTTAATATTGTCACAGTTGTACAGCCATCACATTTAATTTTGGAATATTTTATTAGTCCTTCCCAAAAACACAACCTATATCCCTTACCTGTCACACTTCTACCACCAATCCTAGTTAGCTCCCTTCCTCCCCCACCCCATACCTTATACCTTAGACAACTATAGGTTTGTTTTATATATTTGCCTATTCTGGACATTTCATATAAATGAAATCATATAATATGTGATATTTTGTGACTTGCATTTTTGTGTTGTCAAATCTATGTTATATCATGTATTGCTATATTATGTATTGCCAAATATTTCATTGTATAGATAATGAAATTTTATGTGTCTATTCATCAGCCAGTAGACATTTGGGTTCTGTCTTATTTTTCTCTTGTTGCTGAGACTAAATACCCAGTGACCAAAATTAAGAAAGAAAAGATTGATTTAGCTTACAGTGTATAGAGCTATAATCATATGGCTCCAAGGCAGGATGGCATGGCACAGGAGCAACCACGCACAGTAGTGGGAGACAGAAAAAGCAACGGGGTGGGAAGGTGAGCAAGCTTCTTCCTCCCTTATATTGTATGCAGGTCAGGTGCAGCACTCACACCATCTCCATGCCCTCCTCTTGCACAGGCTCAGGAGGTTTACAAAGTGAGGGTCCTGGCTCCCTGCTGAGTCACTTAGTTAAACTTCTGAATTTGTCCATTTAACTCAAGAAATCGACCATTATACCATCATAGGGCATAAACAGCCATCCTAGGGCATGTCCTCTATACCCGAGGATGTAGAACTGCTGACTTACTTAAGCTTCTAAACTCAAGTTGATACAATGCATCAACCATTGTAAGTTTTTCTTTTTTCTTATTATTAATGCTTTTTTGTGTGTATTTTTTTAGGGAAGGGTCTACAGGGTGTTCAGGGTCTCACTACTAGATCGGACTCATAGTGATTCTCCTGTTTACAGCCTCCCAAGTGCTGGTATTACAGGCATGTGCCACCACACCCAGTCTTAATTGCCATCTCAGTGCGCCCGGGGGTGGGGCAGGCACGGCAGGCCTGGAGATCGATCCCCCAGCAGGCACTTTAATCTACTGAGCAATATATTTGGCAGGCTCTGCTTATTATTAATGCTTTTGTGAACATTTGTACTTGATTTTTTTATGGCTCTGAAACTTGAGTTGAGTTGATTATGTGATAATTCTATATTTAACAATTTGAGGAACAGCCATAATGTTTTCCAAAGCAGTTACACTATTTTATATTCCTAACATTAGATGAGTGAAATTTCTCTACAAATTTTTTATATTTGTTATTACCTTTTTTGGGCTGGGGAGATAGCTCAATAGAATAAGTGCCTGCCTGGCAAGCGCAGGATCCTGAATTCAATCCCTGTTACTGGAAAAAACAAACAAACAATCAAAAGAAAACATGTTCTGTTGTTACTTTTTTTGTTTTTCTGTCTGGAATTATGGGCATGTACCACTTACTACGCCTCACTGGTTGCAATATATTTCAACATTAATGTTATTTCTTTATTTTTGTAGCTAAACCCAAGACCTCACCCATGCTGGCCAAGTGCTCTACCTCTGAACTATATCCCCAAGACCTATTAATATTCCTTAAATGAATAAATTTTATCCTTTATATTATTCCTCTGGATTATCCCTAACCCTCCAACCTCCACCTCTGCCTTTCCAGTACTGAGATTGAATCTAGGGATTTTGCAGTCAGCTGAATCCCCAGCCAAGTGTGCTGAGATTATGTGTAAGCCATCTAGCTTTGAATCATTTTTACATTTTGAGAACCTGTACAATTTCACTATATGTATTTATGGAAGGGTTTTGTTATTTGTATTCTTTATAAAAAAAAAATGTGGGGCAAAGAGTATACTTTTTTAAAAAACTGAAGCCAAAAAATACAACTTGTGGTTTTATAGACAATATTGATTTGCTAAAGTATTATCCCATATATAATTATTTCCCTGAATTCATCCAGTTACTCTTGTCTTTTCATATGCTTTAATTCAGACTGGTAACCTAAAGCCTTTTACAGTGGTAACCCAAAGCCTTATATTCTTTAAAAACTTGTATGATAATTATTTTGTAATCAACAGTGACACTTCTGGATATTTTTATAATAAATATAGATCAACCTTTAGCAAATATTGAAAATGTCTTTATTCTTAACACTTGACACACATAGTATTTTGAATTTTTGTCTTATTACCGGGTTTTATGGCTTAAAATATCTAAAATTTGCAAGTGTTTAACTCAATAATACACTTGGCTCAAAGGCCCCTATCACAACTTTCCCCTTCAGAAAGCTCACTTTTAATATATAGTCTCTGAAAAGAGACTGCCACTGTTTTTTTTTTTTAACTGTTCAGCTTTTTCTTTGATGTTTATAGCATGGATTCTTTTTTAACAGATGGAAAATGGTTGATCATTATGTTAGCCGTGTCCGTGGAAATCTCCAAATGTTAGAACAGTTGGACCTGATTGGGAAAACCAGTGAAATGGCTAGGCTTTTTGGCATCCAGTTTTTACATGTACTGACAAGGGGTTCACAGGTAGGACATCAAATGTTTTGTGCACGTTGAAGTTCTGTATAAAAATTTCTGTTTTTAAGATGTTAGAAGTGATTTGACTTTTTTGGGTTTTTTCCTAGTACCAACTAACCAAAAGCTGAGTATTCACACCTTGTTAGTTTGACTAGAGCCACCACTTGAAGAAAGGCTACCATTTGTTTTACATTTCTGATTATGGCTTGTTCCAACTTGCCATATACTATGTGTTCTGGGTTTTTTTAGACTTTGTTAATGTGTTTAAAAAATCACGTGTTTTCTATAACTTTAAAATGTTAATGAAAAAGGTGATCTGAAAAACAATTTAATTCATGTCTAACTTAATTCCAAAGATATTGTGTAAAGTGGAAAATAATTTTATTCTTTCACTTAGTGAAAACTTAAATACTTGAATACATATAGAACTTGTCAAGGTGTCCTACACTAATTTTATAACTCAGTTACCTTAGTCTCAAAAAACCCATTATTTTAGTTAGTAAATAAGCTACATATCTATAGCAGTCCCCAGTCCACCAAGTCCATAAATATAGCAAAAATAGAGTTCTAATTACTTGGGAGTACTCATTTGCTTATTTAATTTTATTGCTTACTGATGAATGTCCATTTTGTATATGTGTATTCAAAGAGTTTGGTATAGATATATAGTTGTATTCTCTTAATGAATGTAATGATTTGTTCTAATGGTGTTTGTAAATGGGATCACAAGTCCGCATCTTGTACAGCAATTAACCACTAAGAAGAATATATGCAGTGTATTATTTGTTGAAAAAAAAAAAAATAATTTTATTGCTTACAAACTATTTCATTTATCCTAAAGAACAAAGTATTACCAAGTGATTAACATATATTCACATAATTGATATTATATTTAAACTGTGTTTATTTTCTTCACCTTTTCCTCCTTGTTTGCAGTACCGCGTGGAATCAATGATGTTGCGCATTGCTAAACCAATGAACTATATCCCTGTGACACCAAGTATCCAACAGAGATCCCAGATGAGAGCTCCACAGTGTGTTCCCCTAATTATGGAGCCTGAATCCCGCTTCTACAGCAACTCTGTTCTTGTTTTGGATTTCCAGTCACTATATCCCTCTATTGTGATTGCGTACAACTACTGTTTTTCCACCTGTCTTGGCCATGTGGAGAACTTGGGAAAGTAAGATTTTTTTCATATTTACAATTATAAAATTGCATTCCTTTTACTTCTTTCTGAATCATACAGACTTTCTTTGAGTGTCTGTTTTAATATTCATTTAGTTATTTTACTAAATAAAATGGATTATGATATGATTAATTCAGCTTCATGAGTGGATGGCTCATGTAAGGAAAATTGTGGACAGATCATCCTAGCTACTTTCTGGTTTTCTCTTTGTATCTCATCTCTTAAAATAAAAGTTATTTTTAATTAGTTATATATCACCTTTCAGTGGGAAAATGTGTGGATTATAGCCTTATAATTTGAACTTCCTCTTCACTTAAAAATAGTCCAAGATTTTTGAAAAGTGAACTAAGTTAGGTTTTATTAATTCATATAAATTGAATTTTATAAACTGAGAATAGCATTATAAATTCTCAAAATTGATATTTTTTTTAATTTTTTTTTAAATTATTGTGGGGGGGGCCAGATCAGCCCACCAGGGGGCGGGGCTGGCTGGCATGTGGTGCTGGGGGATCGAACGGCGGTCCCTGTGCCTTGCCAAGCTTGTTCCAAGTAGGTGCTTTAGACCACTGAGCCATCTCTTCTGCCCTGATATATTTTTCTTGAATTAAAAGAAACACAGTGTTAGGGCCAGTGAGATAGCTCAGCAGACTAAGCGCCTGCTTTGTAAGCACTGGGACCAGGGTTCAATCCCCCATCCTGCATGCTGTGCTGCCCCCGCCCCCACCCCAAGGGCATGCTGAACAGTGACCGAGTCCAGGAGTAGTAGTTCACTCCTATAATCCCAGTGCTGGGGAGGCTGAAAAGGAAGATGATCACTATGAGTCTGAGCTGCATACTAAGACCCTGTACCAAATACATAAAATGAAAATATAATAATAATGATAAAAGGAACACAATGTAGTATTTGTAATATTTGAATATTTGTATTATTTGAGTATTTGAGACCAGATATTATGGTTTGGTCCATGGTATATTCATTTTTTCATAGAAAATATTTGTGGAAATTATATCAATAATCCTAATCCTATCTTTTCCTCTTAAGAAAGGTGTTTAGAAAGCTATTCTATTAATTTGAATTTTTCTTTGAGAAACTTAATGTAAAGTAATCATATATAGAGTTGGAATTTGGTGTTTCAGTATAAATTTGTCCATAAATTTTAGGATATTGCTATTGAAGAAATGTTTCTTCTAATAAATTATGCTATTTAACTGCTTTTTTTTAATGAGGCAAGTAAATGTATTGCTGAGTATATGAATTCATGATTGAAAATGAATGATTAAAAATGAATTTCTGTTGGAATTAGATTCCTAAAATTGCCTAAACGCTTTGCCTGTAATTTGAGAAAATATTTAATGTTTTCTTTCTTTATAGGTATGAGGAATTCAAATTTGGCTGTACTTCTCTAAGAGTTCCTCCAGATTTACTTTACCAAATTAGGCATGACATCACAGTATCCCCCAATGGAATAGCTTTTGTCAAGGTAATACTCTGTTTTAAATGAAAGGAACCAACTATGGCTTAACTTTTGGAGAGATAATAATGGTTTAGATGTTGTTAGCATTTACTCCAAAACAAAAACACCTAAGCTTGCGTGAAATATTTTATCTCACAAAGATAAAGAGTGTTACAAGAAATCACTTCAGAAAAAAATCTAGTCATGTGCTTTTCTTGAATTTAGGTTTAAAATCTTCAAGTTGTTAAATTTTATTTAATGGAATAATGAAAGAAACGTACATGTATGATATCTGCCCAGTATTAGACTATGCCAGTCTTAATTAACAATTTGATGATCAAAAAATGTTACTACAAAAATCTATATCACTTTAATGGGTACTAATTGTTATCCTATATTATTTTAAATTAAATGACCCCATCTTTGACATAGTGGTACTCTAAAATGTTTATTGCTTGCAATTGTAAGAAGATACCCAAACTAATAATACAGTTCCTTTTCTCTCTCCCTTATTTCCCCTGAGGGTGGTGGATCTGAGCCTTCAAAAATAATAAAGACAGAGATCTAGGAGATTGTACGGCCTATCACACAGCACCTTCATTCTTTTTATTTCCTCCGCAGTGAGATTGGGTGGTTGACAGTGGAGTGGACCCAACTAGCCCTCAAATTCATTCTGGTGTACTTATCAGATGCATCATTTTTCTACCAGTAACAGGTAGACAGCAATTAGCAATTTAGATATAAGGAGGTTTTTCATTAGCATTCATAGTATATTCCCTTTTTAGGGAAATTCCTAAGGTATAGTAGTATTTCAAGAATCTGAATAGGTATAGACATAGACAAGACCTACTTGTAGACATGGAACTAGATTTTTTATTAAATGTCTCCCCATGTAAAAATCAGTTTTTACATCACATACATTTCTACATATTTGATCCCTGTTCTTTTTCCATTACATCTTAAAACATGGTAGGTACTTCAAAAGGTACACCAAATAGATTAGCGGTCAGACTATGTTCTCATTGTCAAATACATAGCTACTTATATTAACATTCCCCTCCCCCTTGAGCCACAGTTTTAATACTTACATCTACATTTTGACCAATGTGTAAAGATTAGTGAAAATGAGATTTTTAATATTCAAGAATGTGATTATCTTATGCCTGTAGTTTTAATTGCTACATTCAACATACATTATTTTGCACGTGTCTGTGAATCATCAAAGTTAATACTGTTTTGTGGTTTTTATTCCTACTGGAGTTCTCATAAATTCTCCCTAGCCTTGATTAATACAAATGACTTTTTTTTTGGCAACAACAAATTTTATCACCTCATTATTCATCCCCTCTTCCAGATTGCTAATAAATATAGGCCGGAGGGGATGGCTTAGTGATCTAAGCATCAGATTTGAAATACCTAGAGTCCTTGGAACTACAGGTTTGAATGTCAGCAGAGTCAACCCAGCTCATCATTCTTCCAAGGTAGATAAATGGAGTTCCATGCAGATTACTGTGTGGGGTCACTAGGATGAGATCTTTGAAAACTGAGGTTGGTTATGAGTGACACAAGTCCCATTAATATTCTGGAATGATGGGGGTTTCAAAAATTTCAACATTCCCTTTGAACCTATGTGGTCACTTACACCTTAATTGAAATCCTCCTCCCTGGAGGTCTCTGAGCTTGCAAAGAACTGCTATTTTAGATTTATAAACATTACAGGAACATTTTAGGAGAAAAATCTTCAAAAGAAAAAATTATGTTTTTGTATTGACATCCACTAGTGAGTCAATTTTAGCATGTTCTAATTCTTTGCAGTTGTTCATTATTATAGTTTTCTTCTTGCTTATCTAAATATTGCCTGAAAGATTTTACACATTTTCTTTTCCTTTATGATAGCCTTCAGTAAGAAAGGGTGTGCTACCAAGAATGCTTGAAGAAATTTTGAAAACTAGACTCATGGTGAAACAATCAATGAAGGCTTACAAGCAAGATAAGGCCCTGTCACGAATGCTTAATGCACGACAGCTAGGACTAAAGCTGATAGCAAATGTCACATTTGGCTATACAGCTGCGAATTTTTCTGGGAGAATGCCATGCATTGAGGTAAGTGACACAGCTGCAGTTTTCTTCAGAAATTCCTAAAGCCGTATTTAGTGAATGCCTGTTTGTTAGATACTTCATCTTGTTTTGAAACTTAAAGGGTTTCATTGGCATGATTTAGGATCAATTTTATTAGTATACACATATTTCTGCATGATCTAAATCCATCTATTAGCTTTAAATTTCATTGTCAGTTTTATACTGCTATTTACAACAACTTTGATACTGAATTCTTTTTAATGTATATGTAGGGATTTGATTGTAGTTAGCTTAGCTTGTTCAAATGTCAGAACAAATAGAAGTCATTCCATATTTCCTAGTTTACTAGTAAATTAAGTCAAAATTTTTCGGTTGCAGTGACTAGTAACAATTGAAAGACACTTTTCACAGAATAACAAATTCTTCAGGTTTTTATTTAACATGAATGTAAGAGTGTAACAGTACTATTTTACTAGTGATTGAGAAAAGAACAGTGTCAACTTGTAAATGATCTTCTCATGCCAGGTGAAGATCAGAGCACAAATTTGCAGTAATTCAGTGAGAGAAAAGCAGAAGTTTTGTGTATATCATTATTCCATAAAAATATAATGAAACTTTTAAACATCAAAATATAAATTTTCATGACTTTTTACTGACTAGGCAATCCTACATTAGTTGAAGTAACTCAAGTTTTACAATAAAAAAGGAAGAAACATCATTACACTTCTTTGCTTTTTAACACAAAGATAAAAACATAATTTTTATTTTAAAAATTGCAAAGGAATGTTTCATTTATGTTGAACAGTAGTGTTCCCAACATTCAGCTTTCATGAGTTCAGTAAATGAACAACAATGTTGTACAGTTTTAATTTACTTAACTATAAGTGATTAGCATGTTTTTTGAAAGTCATGATCTCATATCTTTTTGTTGTGTCATTTTGTGCCACTCACTAATTACCAGTGAAAGAACCCTTGTTGGACATGCTGTGTATGCACCACTTGATTTAAACTGAATACTTGTAATATATTTAATATCATACAGTTACATACATTTTTCCTTGTACTTAATATTTTTTTAAGTATGTATAACCAGTCACAGAGATTTAAGTGCTACATTAAAAGACATTATCATCAACACTTGAAAATAACAATTTTGAGATTGATACACATATTTGGACACGCAAAACAGTGACTTCTTATCTAACTGCTTATAAAGCCACATAAGAAATTTTTTGAGTAAACATAGTTTATTCTTTCAAGAATCAAAGGTAGGGCCAGCCAAATAGCTCAGAGGATTAAAGTACCTGCAAGCAGATGCTGGGGCTGAGTTTCGATCACCAGGTCTGCCCTGCTGGCCCTGCCCATGCCCTAGGGCGCACTGAGAGGGCAATTGAGACTGGATGTGGTGGTATGTGCCTATAATCCCTGCTCTTGTGAGGCTTTAGACAGGTGGATCACTATGAGTCCAATCTAGTAGTGTGACCCTGAACACCCTGTAAACCCTGCCCTAAAAATACAAACAAGAATCGAAGATAGCTTAAAGCATGCAGTCCATTGTACTTACTGAAACACTAAAAGTCAAGATAGATTGATTCTTTTAATATATCAGTATGTATATATTGATGCTTTTAATCTCACTTTCTTGAATACTTACAGAAAGAATAAGATTGATGGCTATTTTGTTTTCCTTTTTACATTATTTCATTTCTAGAAACCAAAAGTACTAAATGTTAGTCTATTGATTTAAAGTGAAGTACATTAAGAAATTGTTTCATTTGTGTTTGTACCCACAGGTTGGTGATAGTATTGTTCACAAAGCCAGAGAGACTTTGGAACGAGCAATTAAACTAGTGAATGATACCAAGAAATGGGGTGCTAGGGTTGTATATGGAGATACGGACAGGTAATGGATTTGGGGTTTTATAATTGTTTTCATCTCTTCAGATCTTCACTCAGTGTTTGAAATAGCTTAAGGTTAATCCATCCTAAAAATGAAGTTCTATTGCAGTACTTTTTAGTCTTTATGATCTTGTGTCAGATTAATGCAAGTTCTGACTTATCAGCTATGGTCTTGAGACAGAATAAAGCCACAAATGGAAGATTCCCATGGCATTTCTCCAGGCAGTTCATGGACAAGTAAACAAACCATTCACAGGATTCTAGTCTATTTAAAGAAACTACACCTAATATGAATGATGTCTCTGATAGCTGAAGCTCACTGAATTTAAATGTATATCATTAACTGAATCATTTTTGAAAGACAGTTGTCAGTGCTATGAACGATTAACTTTTTTACTAGGCACCCAAATCTGTGGCCTTTCTTCTAAGAAAAGTACTTAGGCAAATACAATTCTCCATTTGATTCCAAAGGTTACTTATACTTCTGCAAGCCATTGTTCATGGAATTAAAATTGCTTTTTAATTTTTTTCTTAATAGTTTTCTTTCTCTTAATTTTTTTCCTTAAGAGCGTAATGGTGATAAAATGTTGAGAAAACTGAATGGGAGATAATAGGTAATACTTGATAGGGTGAAAAAGAGTCTCAACTAAGAGAGATGATCTGGATGTCCTATCTAGTTACACTCCTAGCTGATGCATAGTCATCCAAAAGTCACTTAGCTTCTCTGGGGCTCACCAAAATGAAGGAAATCTAATAGGAGATGGTGAATGACTTTTAGCTCCCTTCAATTTCAAGAATTGTGGGGCATAGCAAAGTGAGTCATGTTAATACTGGAGCCAAGAGTAGGGTAAAAACTAAAAAGGGAGTAGAAGGAAATTTTAGGGGTGATTAAATGTTCTGTATATTGATTCTTGTGGTGGTTATATAGCTGTGTGAGTTTCCTAGGGATGCTATGACAAAATATCAAATTCCTGGGAATTTTGTTGTTGATTTTTTAAAACAATCTCCCCCCCCCCTTTTTTTCCCCATAATTTTATTGAGAAACAAAGAGCAATGAGACAGTTTCAAACCAAATTGGTAGGAAAGTTTCAATAATTAACACATTGCATACATTCTTCCTACTGTTAAAACAATCTCTTAATACTTTTTTTGTTTGTTTGTTTGGCGGAACCGGGGATTGAACTCAGGTCCTTGCGCTTGCCAAGGAAGCGCTTATTCCACTGAGCCATCTCTCCAGCCCCAAAACAATCTTTTAAAAGGAAGTCTTAACATAATAAAATGTTTTTTAAATAAGGCTTTAGTTGTGTAATGAGCATCAGACCTAAAAAGAAAATTACAAACAGCCTCAAGGGTTTCAGAGAATGGCCTAACTTGAAGGTATTCAGTTTGATAGTATCTTTCAAAAAGAACTAAATGACATGGAAAACTGTTCACAATACACTATTACAGTAATCCCTTACTATTTCACTTTTTGACTTTTGTGGACTCCCAATTTTATGGGTTTTCAAAAAATACTATCTAAATTTTTTTTAGGAATTTTTTAAAGATTTATTTATTCATTTGTTTGTTTTATTTATTTTTTATGGGATTACAGGCGTGCGCTACCACGCCCAGTTTTAGTAGTTGGCATGGCACAGCGCAGGGCTGGCACAGCATGCAGAGCCAGGGATTGAAGCTGGGTCCTTGCACTTGCCAGGCAGGCGCTTAGACTGCCAACCTATCTCCCCAGCCCTAATCTAAATTATTTATTGCGGATTTTTCGCTCTATTGCTGGATTTTGCAGTATCGTACAGTATACATGTATTGTTAAAATTACATAGGGTTTTGAGTTTAGAAAATGGTTAAGAATATTAGATGTCCATTTTAGATGGCCATTTTCATCTTTGTTCCTTATTGAGCTTTTTACTTTGGTGAATGTTTTAAATTGAATAGTTCTGAAAGGAAATTTCCTCCCATATGAGTTAAGTTTGCCACTTCTTTTTTGGTGCTTTGTTTTGTTTGTTTTTACAGTCTTGGGAATTGAATACAGGACCTGTATATTGAGTTACATTCCCAACCCTTTTTAAGACAACATCTCACTGCGTCATTAAGTTGCCCAGAATGGGCTCAAATGTGTGATTCTTCTGCCTCATCCTTGCAGGGTACTGGGGTTACAAGCATGTGCCTGTTTCTCTGTAGTCACATACAGACCTGGCTGTGTGCTATGTAAAACATTATATGTCTAGGGATGATCCAGGACCTTCTTAGTAACTGTAGTGTCTGAGCCAGGAAGATTAGAAATATTGGATATCTTAAAGATCTATATCAAGGTACACCAAGAGCATACAAGGAAGATATAAAACATGAAAGCTTGCATAGGAAGCAGCTTAATAAGAAAGAGTAAAGAGAAGACAAGGCTTTCTTTGGTTTAGACAGAGTATTAGCCAAGAACGATAATCTTGATGAAATTTTCACTGTAATGACTTTCTTATTGCCTATTGTATTTTTAATCCTTTTAGTATGTTTGTGCTACTGAAAGGAGCCACTAAGGAGCAGTCTTTTAAAATTGGTCAAGAAATTGCTGAAGCTGTAACTGCTACCAATCCTAAGCCAGTGAAATTGAAGTTTGAAAAGGTAAAAGAAATACTAATACCCATATATAAAATTCACATACATTCTAGAGTTTATCACTTAGTATACTTTGGGATGCATTAATAGTGTGTGACTACACATGTGCTAAATATTAAAGAAATTTTAGCACCCTTTTTTTTTGAGGGGTGTGTGTGTGTGTGTGTGTGTGTGTGTGTAGTGTCAGGGACTCACAGAAATACTCCTGCCCTAGCCTTTGAGTGCCAGAATTATAGGTATACACCTCCAAACCTGGTACCCATCAGATATTTTTAGTAATGTCCTACAAGGAAATAAAAAGATAGTTTCAATTACTATTACTATAAAAACAAGTCATCCCAAATGTCATAACATAAAACAACCAGCATTTTATTCTGTTCATATATTTTACAGCACAGGAATTGAAGAAAAGTGCAGCAGGGGTGCCTTGGCTTTGTCTCACAATGACCAGTTCTTAGCTGGGAAGACTTAGAAGCTGGGCATAGCCATCCACTTGTTACGATAACTAGTCCAAAGCTGAGGACTGATATCATCTGATGCCTGCTTATGCTTATGTGTGGTGGTTGGGGCCAACTGCTGACAAGGACTTGGGCTGAAACTGCGCAGTGCTTTCTGCCATGGTTGCTTGTTCTTCCTCATAGCATATTAGCTGCACTCTGGGAGAACATCCCAAAGAGAAAGACAAAAGCTATTCTATTTATGACTGGTCTGAAAATCTCACTGTATCACAAATCTTTATCTACTTAAGAGAAAGGAACATAGACACCATATATTAATGGTAATGTCAGACATATAAAAGGCCCCGTGGGATGAGACATACTGTTTCTTCGTAAGTACATCTACCAGAAAGACTTTTCACTACCTTTTAGACATCAAATACGTATTCAGTTCTTTTTGTATGAAAGATAATGAGCCTTTGTATTCATTTGTCAATACAAAGTAACATAACTCACAGTTCTACCCTCTAAGAGCAAGTAAACTGCAAAGATTAACTATGTGTATAAGTAATCTGTTATTAGCTAACAGAAAACTTTTTGAGAGTAGTCTCCTCAACCAATACAAAATACAAAGAAAAGGAGAAATTGTCCCTCCAGCGCCTGATGGGAAGACTTCATGGATAAGAGAACATTGAATTATGTGTTTAAAAATGAGTTAAGGGTGTAGCTTAGTGGTAAAACTTGCCTAGCATGCACAAAGCACTGGGTTCAGTACTCTGAACTCGGGGGAATAAAATAGGAAGCGTGGGCCTATGCAAGATAAAATAATATGTGGAAAGATATGGAGTTGGAAAACTATAATAAAGGAATACAGAGTAGCAGAATATAAAGCCAGGAAAATAAAATGAAAACAACCGCTAGTGTGTCTTGAATTTCAAGCAAAGAGTTAACATTTTATTTGGGAAAATTTATTGTCTTAGTCTGCTTATGCTGCTATGAACAGAATACCACAGATTGGATAAGTTATAGAGAAAAAAATTTCTCACAGTTGTAGAGGTTAGGGAGTCCAAGATCAAGACATCAGCATCAGGTGTTTGGTGAAGACCTTTAGCTGTATCTTCCAGAGGTAGAAAAGCAGAAGACCAAAAAGACATGAACTCCTTCTGTCAAGCTCTCTTGTAATGGTTCCTAATGCAGTCTTAAGAACAAGATGCCTCAGGATCTAATTACCTCTTGAGGTGCTCACCTCTTAGTATTATTACATTGACAACCCCTGACTCAAGGGGCACATTTAAATCATAGTAGTTCTCAACAAAGAGAGTGACTTGTTCAGAGCTGTTTGAGGATAGCCAGCTTTATGGCAGTTATAAAGTAAACTGGAAAGAGGAGACTCTCAAGACTGCAGTGCCTCTTGGAACTTGCATACCCTGAACTAGTAAGGTGATGAATAGAGATAATAAAGGACGATTCAAGGGCCGGCCACATAGCTCAGAGGACTGAAGCGACTGCTTAGGCAGAGTTTAGCAGCTGGGTTCCATCCCCGGCATGCCGTACTGGCCCCATTTCCAGGGCACACTGAGGCTGGGATTAAGACTGGGTGGTGGCGCATGCCTGTAGTCCTAGGGCTTGGGAGACTGAAAACGGGAGAATCGCTACAAGCCCAGTCTATATAGTGAAACCCGGTAGACCCTGTACTAAATACATTTTTTTTAAAAATCTGAGATAAAGAACTATTCAAGAGAAACTGCAAAAGAATGGATAAGTATTAGAAGTGATTGATTCAGGAGAGCAAGTGTGAAAAGAGTTAAGGGAAAGGAGCTCTAGGAGTGCATCTTACTGGTACAGCGCTTGCCTAACATGCATGAAGCCCCTTGAGTTCATCCTCATCACCATCAAGAAAAAGGGAGAAAAACAGAAAAGAAAAATGACTCCCAAATTTTGTCTTGTAGCTGTCCTGAAGTCCAAAACAGCGAAGAGACCTCAGATATGATATCCTCCTTTTTTAGAAAGTTAGTATTCTCATGGGAGATGGGGGTTAGAGAACGGTCATGCTGAGTGGTATTTCAGGCATATGTATAAAATGCTGTGGTCATGCAGCCCATCTGGTAAAGTGAAAAACATGATTTGCTTCGAGAATAACATCACACACAGAAATTTACCTTGACACAAGCACTTACCAGGCAAGCACAAGATCTTGAGTTCAATTCCCAGTAACTCTTCCCAAATAAAACGCTTACTTGAAACAGATCATATACCCAAACATAGAGCTGCATGGGGCCAGGAAGACGGCTCAGTAGAATAAACGCTTCCCTGGCAAGCACAAGGGCCTGAGTTCAATCCCTGGTTCCATGAAAAAAAAAAAACATAGAGCTACAAAAATTCTCCCAAGAAAATATAAACATTTGTTAGATTGTAGTGCAGCTCTTCATCATTTACAGTCTTCTTGTATTTGTCTGGTTTGGAGACAAGAAAAGACTGCTTCATTAAAGTGCCCTCTTCTGTTTTTAATTTTCTTGCTTTTTAAAAAAATTTATTTTTGGTACTGGTAATCAAACTCAGGACCTTGAACTTAATGGGCAGGCACTGTGCTGCTGAGCTATATTACTGGTCTTGTTTTCTTTTTTTTAAAAAAGTGCCAGAAAATAAAATTATTTCTTCCTTAAATGATTGATACAATTTACCCTAAACCATAATTTCATTTGGGAAAAGGTTTTAAATACAAAGTAAGCATCTAGGGGCTGGGGATTTGGCTCAGCGGTAGAATGCTTGTCTAGCAAGCTGGAAGCCCTGGGTTCAGTCCTCGGCACCAAAAACGAAAAGTAAACCTTCCCTAGAAGGGCGAGGGTATCGGTAGCCCGAGTTTTGAAGCAGAACCAGAGGACATAGAGCAACAGCTCCCTCCTTTCTATGCAGTGTGGCTCTGGGTTCAGGCCCCAGCACTGCAAAAAAACAAAACAAAACAAAACAAAAAAAGAATAAATTAAGCATCTATATCCCTAGCCATTTTTATTTTATTTATTTTGTCTTTTTTAGAGAGTTCTCACTATGCAGTTCAGGCTGGCCTTTAGCTAACTTTGTAGCCCTGGCTGGCCTTGCATTTACAATGATCCTCCTGCCTCAGCCTCTGAGTGCTGGGATTACAGATGTGTGCCACCACACCCCGCTCCCAAGCCCTTTTTAAATTTTAAGACAGGTCCTTTCAAAATTGTCCAAGCTGTCCTCAAACTTGCAATCCTGCCATGGCCTCTCCAGTAGCTGGGATTACAGACATGTGATACAATGCTCAACAGTTAAATATTTTCTTAAGCAAAAGGCGGGAGGGAGGAAAAGGATCAAAATTCTAATATAAAAAAAAATATTGCATGAGGCTAGGGAGATAGCTCAGAGTCATAAGCACTTACTCAGCAAGTGCAAGGTCCTGAGTTCAATCTGTGGCCCCAGGACCCCAGGTGTCCTGGCCTGGGAACCCCAGGCATGGTAGCACACACCTATAATCCAGCACTGGAGAGGTTGAGACAGGAGGATCTCTGAGAGACCAGCCTGGGGGTTACAAAAGTGAGCACAAGGCTGGCCTAAACTGTGAAGTGAGATCCTGTATCCAAAAAAAAAAAAAAAAGCTCCATTGATCCAGAAATTTGACTTCAAGGAATTTATCTTTCAAATTAATTTATGCAGAGTTATTTACTGGAAAGCTACTTATAATTGCCAAATATTGAGAACAACTTAAATACTTACAGTTAGTAACTTGTTGGATAAATTATTATTAACCCCCAGTGATGGACTTCTACATAACTTTAGAAAAGTATGCACTAGGATGGAATGCTCTCCAAAGTATTTAAACTATTAATTACTACTGATTTAAACACGTGAAGTACAAAATGGGATATATGGTAAGCTACCATTATAGGAATAAGAGGAACATGTTAAATATATGTATTTGCATAGGATATCTCTGCAAGGTTCTGCAGGAAACCCATAATTAGGAAAGAGGCGGGGAAGAGAAAACAGAGAAAAATGGACCTCTCATTGTATATTTTCATAACCTTTTTTAATTTGGTACCATATGTATGCATAAAGTATTTTTAATAGTGCTGACTTTTAAGAAAGTGTCAGTTGAGGTGAGAGCAAAACTGTAGTGCAAGAACGGGAATCCAAGATAAGGAAGGACAGGTCATTTTATATGCTTTTATATCCAGGTTTTTATATGGATTTTTTACATCCTAAATCACATTAATAAATTTCTTATAAATGACATTTGAGTAAAGAGGGCAGAAAAACAAAAGTAAAATAGTTTTGGTGGGAGAAAAATGTTTATTTAGAGGTTTTTTATTAATTCTATTACAGGTATATTTGCCCTGTGTTTTACAAACAAAAAAGAGGTATGTGGGTTACATGTATGAAACCTTGGATCAGAAGGACCCAGTATTTGATGCAAAAGGAATAGAAACAGTTAGAAGAGATTCTTGTCCTGCTGTTTCTAAGGTAAGTTCTGTCTAGTGCTGGGATTAGCATGAGCCACGGCCAAAATGCTGGCTTTTGACTGCTTGGTAATATTTAAATTTCTTTTTGTCCTGTAAAGTTGAAGCCAATGATGGAACATGGTTGGTGATATTTTATCTTTACACGCATATCTTTTTTGTTTTAAGATACTTGAACGTTCTTTAAAGCTGCTCTTTGAAACAAGAGATATAAGTCTAATTAAACAATATGTTCAGCGACAATGTATGAAACTTCTGGAAGGAAAGGCCAGTATACAAGATTTTATCTTTGCCAAGGAATACAGAGGAAGTTCTTCTTACAAACCTGGTAGTTGTGTGCCAGCCCTTGAACTTACAAGGTAATATACTCACAGACCAGCTCTTTGTACCTAGCCATTGTAGTCCTGGTGTCTGCGAGGCTGAGAATGAATGGAAAGACACCTAGTCCATGAGCCAAGATACACACAGTTGTTTTCCCACACTCCCATAGAAAATTTAACTAAGATGAGTTAACACCCCCTCTATTTTGTAAACTCTGATAAAGAACTCCTCAGGCTTTCCTTAGGAAACTAACGGCAGGTCTATCATTTATAAGATAGTATTATTCTGTTTGTTTTTTGTGGGGGTTTTTTGGCAGAACTGGGGATTGAACTCAGGCCTTTACGCTTGCCAGGCAAGCACTTATTCTACTGAGCCATCTCCCCATCCCCAATAGTATTATTCTGGAATCAGATTATTTAGCTAAATTTTCTCTTTATCTTTCATTGTTAGATTATTTTCCAGGTAGCATTGATAATATAGTGTTAAATTTTAAGCTACAGCATATCCACTTGATGCCAACTAACTGAAATAAATGTACATAATTCTCAAAGTAGTAGTAACTTAATTTGAAAGCATTACTTACAGATTTCTCATGGCTTCATTACCGAATTCTAACTTAATGTGCTGGAAAGATGCTTTCTGTGATAGTCTTTTAAGTGTGTACTTTGTTCGGATTTTGATAGGAAAATGGTTACCTATGACCGGCGCTCTGAACCTCGAGTTGGGGAGCGCGTGCCATATGTCATTATTTATGGGGCCCCTGGAGTACCACTCATCCAGCTGGTAAGGCGCCCAGCAGAACTCCTGCAGGATCCAACTCTTAGACTGAATGCCATTTACTATATCACCAAGCAAATTCTTCCACCCCTGGCAAGAATCTTCTCACTGATTGGTATTGATGTCTTCAGCTGGTATCATGAATTACCAAGAGTAAGTTTACTAAAGAGTACTTGTGCTATAACTACTTAAAATTTTTAGTAGAACTAATGATTATATGTATATAGAAAGGCAAAGTGGATCAATCCTCTCTTAACCTAACCTAGGAAACCTTAACCTGGTTTCCTAGGAAAGAAATATCTAAGTTTTCTATAAATACCTTCTTTAGCTATCAAGTTACCCAAATATAGAAACATTAAAATGAATTCCCAAAAGTTTACATGATAAATATTTTGCCACAAAATAACTCAGGCTCTCTGGGTTTGGGCCTTCTCTTATCAACATGGCTAAGTTCACAAAGGTCAGCACTGTCAGTAAATACAGGACTCGCAATGGTGCCTTCCTCAGCAATATGATGAAGAAGATTGAAATTAGCCAGCACTCCAAGAGTACACCTGTTCCTTCTGTGCTAAGACCAAGATGAAAAGGCAGGCTGTGGAGATCTGGCACTGTGGTTCCTGCATGAAAACCGTGGCTGGTGGCACCTGGACCTACAACACGACTTCTGCGGTCACAGTCAAGTCAGCCATCAGGACTGAAGAAATTGAAAGACCAATAGAAGCTCTTACTATTTGAGACATCCCTAGTCTATAATAAATGGGTTAATTTATGTAAAAAAAAAAAAAAGACTAAATCATTTATTAAATGGTAAAGAAATTGAGACCACCTCCCCTCAGAATCACCTTTAAATAAATCCTTTTCCTTTTTTATTCAAATATATGGCCTTCTTCTACTGTAGGTCAGTGGCAAGCTGACATACTTAACTGACCATGTGGAGTAAGTGGCTAGTGACAGTACTCATGAAATGACAGGAGAATATGACAGGACATAAGTCTCCAGCTCCGAAGAGCCATGAATTCTGGAGGATACTTGGGAAGGGGGACTGACTGCTTTGTGGTTACCTGAACTCCAGGGACATTCCAGGAGCTGATGCAGCCCCTTTTGCTTCCAGCATTATTATTATTATTATTTATTTTTTTTTTTTTTTAAGGGAAAGGTCTACAGGGTGTTCAGGGTCTCACTGCTAGATTGGACTCATAGTGTTCTGCCTGTTTACAGGCTCCCAAGAGCTGGGGTTACAGGTGCGCACCACCATGCCCAGTCTCAATTGCAGTCTCAGTATGCCCCTTGGGATGGGGGGGGGCGGGGGGGGTGTGCAGCAGGGCCGGTCTGGGGATCTAACCCTGGCCCACTGTCCCTGCTTGCAGGCAGGCGCTTTAATCCGCTGAGCTATTTAGCTAGCCCCAGCAGCAGTCTTTACTGTTCATGTCCTTAGCTACTGAATACTTTAGGATTCATGTCATCAGCTGCTGTAAAAGAGAACGGAAAAAAGTGGTTTGTGGACCAGGGAGTGGAGTGTTCCTCCTGGTTTCCTGCTAGAAAATACACTCCAGAGAGCTACTCACTACTTAATTTGAATCTTACCTTATGTTGATCACCTTTACCATTTGGAATCTCTTTAGGTCTATTGTAGGTCTTTTGTGGCCACTGAGTAAACATCAGTACCATTTAGAGTGAGTCAAGCACCATTGTAGCTATTTACAATTTGTAGCCATTTGTACCTACTGCGGATCATTTTGTGACACTTATAGTGTAGAAGAGATTCAAAGGGAGACAAAATTTTCAGGTATTTGTTTCAGTTTGGAGTACTCATTTGTTTTGATTTGTGTTGGTATGGTTTCATTTGCCTTTGTTTCTTTTATTTTTCTCTTACAACCTTCTTCTAGGATGAGCAACCTGCTTTTGATACTCCTAGAATTATGTAAACATTTGGGGGCTTCATGTCACATTGAAGCTTCTTTGTGATCCAGTAATATAACTCAAGGTTCTTGAAACATTTGTGGATATAAAAGCTTAAAAGATTTTTAAAAGATAAAGCTCCTGCTTGGGCAAAGTCAGTCAGGCTCAAGGGACTACAGTTTGATCCCCAGCTTCACATGCTGCACCAGACCCCGCCCTTAAGGCAGCCTGAGCCAGCCAAAAAAAAAGAATAAAGACACTGGTGGTATGTTTGAGGAGCTCTGTTATAAACTGTTTGGAAATCAAAATGCTTGTGTTACTTTGCAGAAAAAAGACAGAAAGAAATGGAGAGCAAAAGCTTCAAAATGGATGTTTAAGAAATGCACAGGGTATAGTATTTAGACATTGTCCTGAAGACGCCAGATGAAAGTAATGCTAAGGTGGCATTACACTTAACATGCAACTTGGCGTCTTAGCATGAGGAGCTTTGCTTACACTTTTTTCTTAGTTTATTCATTAGAACCTTGAAGTGGTGCAATGTGAATACATAATAATCTGGCATGCATTTTTCTAGTAGTCATTTTTATCTACTGGAGACAGATTTAGATGTGTGCATTTATTTGCAGTTATCTTAGACTATGACAAACAGATGGTATTCAGAGAGACTGCTGAAGAAAAGTTGATATGCAAGTCATACCAATTTCTCAGTAAGTACTTTTAAAGGGAAGAAAAGTATAAGCTAGGAAACTGAGGCTAAAGATACTCTTCAGAAAGTGTATGCTGGCTGTCATCTAGAATAAGATGTGAACTGGCTCTTAAGTCAGAAAGCTTAGATTTTTCTTTTCATTTTATTGCCAGCAAGAGTATTAAGCAAATGGCATTCTGAGAGGGTAACCTAATAATTTTTATGCAAAGTAATTTATAAGACACCAAAGAGTATCAGAGGACTGCTCTCTGAAATTAGTATCAAATGAATAATTCTTTTTTTTTTTTTTTTTGCGGAACCGGGGATTGAACAAATGAATAGTTCTTAAGTGTATATATCTAATAAAATTTGAAATATTTTGGGTACACTTTTGCTCAGATTTTGCACCTAACAAGTTGTTTTTAATCTTCTACTTTGTTTCCATGGCCCAGATTGTGCCATCTTAAAACAGTATTCACTCTCAATATATTTTTTTCCATTGCCCTCTATGATCTCCTTATCCTGTATAATCTTAAACATCTGTATCTCAACCAAAAATGTGAGACAGGAGGTCGTTCTTCACTTCACCAAAAGAAAAAACAATATATCTGATGATTTTAAGATGTAACGTTAGGCAGGTGTGACATATATGATCCCAGCTACTCAGATGGAAGGACGCAGGAGGATTGTAGATTTGAGACATCTGTGGTCAACTTATTGAGACCTGTCTCAAAATAAAATTTTTTAGAAGGTTGAGGATATCATTCATTAGTCCACCATTTGCCTAATGTGCTCTGTGTTCAATCCTTTGTACCACAAGGGGAAAAAAAATTCAATGAAAGCAATGACTTTACTTCCCAATGTCTATATCCCTAGTGTCTAGAAAAGTGTCTGTCTGACATGTAGTAGCTACTCAGCATATGGCAAATGAATGAGTAAAATGTCTGAGTAAACCTGTCATTAGCATGAGAATTGTGACTGCTATTAAGCTGGCTCAGACTGACTTTTGAATTGATGTTGCAGATCCAAAAAGCCACCAGCTCCTCTCGAAGTGAACTTGAAGGAAGAAAAGGTACTATTTCTCAATATTTCACTACTCTACATTGTCCTGTGTGTGATGACCTCACTCAGCATGGCATCTGTAATAAATGTCGGAGTCAACCTCAGCATGTTACAGTCATCCTCAATCAAGAAATTCGGGAGTTGGAGCGCAAACAGGAGCAACTTCTAAAGGTATGACCTTATTCAGGAGACTTGGATTCTCAGGCAGTCTGATATTTCAGGGAGACACAGTCAACTCCTGAATTAAAGTATGAGAAAGAACATGTGTGATAAGTGAATTGAGGCTTCTAAACTGGTGAAACTTCTTTGTTCCCTTTTTTTGTGGTACTGGGGTATTGAACTCAGACCTTGTGCTTGCCAGGCAGGAGCTTATGCTGCCATGCTATCTCCCTAGCCCTTCTGGTAAAACTTCTTAAAATCTAAAAGACTCTACAGTTGAACTATTAAAATGGGTTAATCTGTTTCATAATTTATTTTTATTCACTGTTTAAATCTTCTTTGTCAAATATATGGCAAGTAATTTGTCACACCTTATTTATCTCTTAAACCAATTTAGAGTAGTTGGTGCTACTTTATTCTGTCTCCCTTGTTTTCCCTGCCCTCCTTTTAAGAGGGGGTCTCTGTAGTGTTGCCCGGGCTTCCCATGCACTCCCATCTCGTGCATACCACCATATTCCATACCCCTCCCTTCAGCCTCCTGAGTAGCAGGACTATGTACAGGTCGTTGTACATTTGGCTTAGATGTCCCTTAATCACTGGGATACACTGTATTTTCTTGACCCTCAGGATTCTCGTTAGTAGCCTTTTTAATTTTTGACATTTTTCATAATCTTAAGAACTTTTGTTCTGTGACATGAAACTATGGGAATCATTTAAAGTCTGATCATTGTCTAAAATTGTAATGAAGGGCCAGCCGAATAGCTCAGTGGATTAAAGCACCTGCAAGCAGGAGCAGGAGCCAGGGTTCGATTCCTGGGCCTGCCTTGCCAGCCCTGCCCCCAGGGCTTGCTGAGGCTGCAATTGAGACTGGGCATGATGAGGCACGCCTGTAATCCCAGCTCTTGGAGGCTGTAAACAGGCAGATCACTACAAAATCTGATCTAGTAGTGAGACCCTGAACACCCTGTGGACCCTTCCCTAAAATACAAAAGAAAAAAAAAAATGTTAATAAAATTGTAATGTTTCTCTTTGTAAAAACTTGCCTTATGACTATTTTCCACATCTTACACATCTATCTGAAAGCCTTAGAGTAAGGAGTCTTAGGCTTTCACATCCAGAGATGGTGATTTCATTGGTATGGAGTAGGGCTCTGGCATTGGTTTATTTGTAAACTCATTGTTAGTGGTCTTAGAACAATTGGTCTACACTGCTACTTTCAAATTCACAATTTGATTTTTTTCATATTGTGATTTTTATCTTCTGAATGAGAAAATGAGTAACTTGATTTATATACATACCCAGTAGTGGAATTGTTGGACCATATAGTAGTTTTATTTCTAGTGTTTCGAGGAACTTCCATAATGTTTTCCATTATGGCTGTACTAATTTACCTTCCCAGTAATGATGTATGAGAATTCCCTTTTTTCAGCATTCTCTACAGAGTTCGTTATTTTTATCTTTTTTATAATACTCATCGTAATAGGGGTAAAATATCTCATTGTGGGTTTTTTGTTTTTGTGTTTGTTTTTGTTTTGCAGTATCAGGAATCAAACTCAGGACCTTACACTTGCCAGGCAGGTGCTTATGCCACTGAGCTATATCCCTGGCCCCTTGTTTCAGTTTTGATTTGTATTTCTCTGATGATTAGTATTGTTTACCATTGTTTTCAGATACTTGTTGACTCTGTCTTTATTTGAGAAAATGTCTATTTCCTATCTTTAAATCAGGTTACTTAGGGTTGGTTCATTTGTTTCCTGTTAAATTTTTGGAGTCCTGTATGCATTCTGAATATTACATGAATAGTTTAGTAATATTTCCCCATCTTAGTATGATATAATCACATTTGTCTATTATTGTTTTGGAGGTATGATCCCCAACCCAGAAAAGAAAATCTTGGCTCACACTGATGTCTTGAAGTGATTCTCTTATGTTTTCTTCTAGAAGTTTCATAGTTTCAGGTCTGACATTTAGGTCTCTCATATACTTTTGAGGTGACTTTGTATTCAGTGAGAAATGAGTCTGGTGTTATTCTTCATAGGAACATCCAGTTTTTCTACCATTATTTACTAAAAACACCATTCTGCTATGTATGTTCTTGGCTCCATTGTTGAAAATCATTTAGCTTTAAAGACATGGATTAATTTCTAGGTTCTTTGTTCTGTCCTGTTGGTTTGTATAACAGTTTTTATGTCAAAACCATGCTACTTTGGTTAATGTAGCTTTGATTATAGTTGACTATTATGATATCTCCAGCTTTTAAAATTTTTTATTAGTAAAGTACATGTTTGTCATACATAATTACATTCATCCTGAGGAATGTTATTTTTATTTTTATGAGGATACATTGAATCTGTAGATCATTTTGTGTAGTATAGCATCTCCAATTTTTTGCCTCAGTATTTTATAATTTTCATTTTAGAGATCTTTTACTTGGTTAAATATATTCTTAGGATTTTTCTGTTTCCTTTGTTTTTGATTTTTTTTTTTTTTTTGTAGTTTGTCATTAGTGTATGTAATCCCTGATTCTGAAAAAAAAAAAAAAGACTTATTTTCTTCTACCTCTTTTCTTTAAGACCTACTAGTTAATTTTTCTTTTTGATTCCAGAGTAGAATTTCTTAGGCATTTCTTATGAGACTAATCTAGTGATGACATATTCCTTCAAGTTTTACATGACAGTTTAGCTAGGTATAATATTCTTATGAAGTTTTTTCTTTGGGGATTCAGAACATATCCTGTTGTTTTCTGGGCCTGTGAAGTTTCTGCTGTGAAATTTGCTTTTAGTCTCATGGAGATTTTTCTTGTGTATGTGACTTGCCTTGGAGAGGACCTTTTTTTGAGTTGAATCTGCTTGGGAACCTTTGAGTTTCTTGGATCATCTAGTGTATTGGAGTTTTTGTTGTTGTCATTGTTCTCCATCCCTAGATGTGGGAAGTTTTTTTTTTCCCATCTCTTTTCTTCAGCACTCATAATACAAGTATTTCTTTGCCTAGTCACTTTTTATAAGTCACATAGGATTGCTTTTAATTGTTTGTCTGCATTTTCTTATGTCTTTTTGTTTCCCTAAAATTATTTTGAGTTTTCAGGCATTCTGTACATTTACTTTTCTTTGGGGTCAGTTAGAGAATTTGTGTATTCTTTTTGAGGCATCATACCACCTTGCCTTCACATGTTTCTTTTGTCTCTACATTGGTGTCTGTGCCACTGGTGAAACAGTTGGTTCTATCCAATTTATATGATGTTTTTTATACTGAAAGACCTTCTGGAGATGTATCCTAGGAAGTAGGGTAGGTTGGTTCTGGATGAGTATAGTACTATAGCCTTTTGTATCTTCCTCAGCTGTAATCAATATCAGCTCAGTGGCATGGCCTCCAGGGATTTGTAGGGCTGTATCTCTTAGGAGCAAGATTTGCTGATGTTTCCAGGCCTGTTAGCCTCTGAGAAAGGACAGGTCATGTGGCTGTTGCCATGGAGCCCAGTCATGTCAGGGCCACATCCACAAATTAAGTCTAGTTCATTTGGGCACATGCAGCTATTTTCAGGTCTGGAAATATTTGAGTATGGCCTCAAGATGGCTGGAGCAATCCAGGTAGAAGGTGCCTCAAATGGACTGGACTCCTCTGGTGTAATGCAGCATATAAACTGCCCAAGACTCTCCTAAATAGGGTTCATGGCTTGTGGAGCCTGCTAGACACTTCCTTTTTACCTTTTCTGTAATAAAGGTGTTGGATTTGCTCCAGTATGTGTACCATCTTGTAAATGCATTTGAGTAGATCATGTTAACTTTCCTATGAAAGGAACACTGAAAACCTCTTAAAGAAAAACCATTTGTGTGTTTTCCTTGAACTGTGTCAAGACCATGTTGTGGAGTCCCAACGAATGCCTGCTCCAGAGATGGGGCAGTAGATGCTTTAATTCCCTTCCTTACAAGACTATCTTTGAGTCTACCTATTCCCTAGCAACTCTGTCACATTCTCACCATATAACAGTTCTCGTCAAGTTTTTCTTTGTAGAAAGGAAAGTATCAGATACCTCTATAGTCAGCATTCTTGCTGAAATCATATTTCTACATGAACTGTAATGGGTTCTACTGTAAATGAAAGTGGATCACAGAAAAGGAATGAGTCATACAGGGTTTTGTACTGTTTTGTGAAATAACGTCCTTTAGCATGTCTAAGGATAGGACTTCCAACAGGTAAAAATAACTATTTATGTCATTTATTTACCAGTAATTACTATATTTTTATGTTTGTTTGCTTTCAGATATGCAAGAACTGTACAGGTTCCTTTGACCGACATATCCCATGTGTTTCTCTGAACTGTCCAGTACTTTTTAAACTCTCCCGAGTAAATAGAGACTTATCCAAGGCACCATATCTCCGGCAATTACTAGACCAGTTTTAAATTGCATCACAGATCTCCAGGTGCTATTTTGTTCACTGTTTACCACTAAACTGTTGTGCATGGTGCTGTCTCAACTTTCATTGAGTCAACAATGTTCACTGTCTGTTATCTGAAGACTATGAAGACTTATGCTGACTGAATCAAAAGTTATCCTTGTTGATCTCTGAATAGCTCACTTCTTATAATGTACAAATTTCTCATGCTTTCACCTTTTGATCATTGTTTTATAATACAGGTGTTGGATTTGCTCCAGTATGTGTACCATCTTGTAAATGCATTTGAGTAGATCATGTTAACTTCCTTGTGGAAGGAACACTGAAAACCTCGTAAAGAAAAAACATTTGTGTGTTTTCCTTGAACTTTGTCAAGACGTGTTACCTAGAGATATCCATTCACTTTATAATTTTGACTGCGAAATATTTTGTAAATACACTTTTTTACTTTTCAAACAACTAAGTAAAATAATGTGCAATGAATTTTATACAAATGATTTTCAAGTTGTTTGGTATATTCCTTCTAGGTTTTGCTTGACTCAAAGTAGATTTGTTATTTTGATCAAACTGTGCAAACAGTAGTACCATGTGTAGCATTTTGAAACATTATTTTCTAAAAAATGCTGTCCTGCTTTAGCTATTAATGGGGCATTGTGAGGAACTGTGCAAAGACATTTTTGTTACAAACCTGTGGGCCTGTTGCAATACTTTAAAAATTAAAAAACTTACTCCATTTTTGCTTGTTTTGTATAGACATTTCTATTGCTTCTAAAATATGCCTAAATATTTTCTTTCTTTATGTACTGTACAGTTAATCTTATTTGCCATCATCTTGAACACAAAATGTGTATTTAGAATATTTGTATAACTGTATAAAATGAAAAAGAATTATGTGGTCAGTGCATTGTTTTTTTAAACTGGAAATCATTTTGTTTTAAGAGTTAATGGAAACCATATTAAAATTGAATAAAATATGAAATGTTTCAGTGTAATTATTATAAATGAAATTATTTCTATAAACCCACAGAATTACATCGTACCTTGTGATTTCATAAAGTTTAATGAGGTAAACTTCATTCCTATAGTCTAATACAGCAATTCTCTTGTTGAAACTTTAAGTCACAACAGGCAACAAAAAGAGTCTAGAAAAATCTGCATTCATTCTTTTAAAGAATGTACTGTAGAATCTTGGTTAACAAACATACTTTGTTCTGGATTTTCAGATCCTAGGGCCCTGTACCTCTCAGAGTAGTTGTCATGTACAGTAGTTACTTATAGCCCTGTAGTATCTTGCTGCTTTCCCCTGATGTGAGAATTGTTAGCTTTAACCACTTGGGTTTTATAATATGTAAGAATAAAATCTAATATCATTTATGCCTCTGTTCTGCTTAAATAGCTTTACACAGGATAATACAATGCATTGAATACAACATTCAAGATCCAAGGAGAAAATTGTAGGCCACATGCCTCTTACCCCACTGCTCCATCTCATTTTTGTGTCTTCACTGATAGCTTTTAGGACTTTGAAAAGCTCTAAGAATGATTCACAAAGATGCCCTATAGAGGAGCTATCCAGTTCACATAACCAGGTTTCTATTTTAACATAGCAAGAAGAGAGTGTAACCAGGAAGACAGATAAAATGTTTTTGAGATAGGGCCTTGCTATGTAGTCCAGGCTGCCTTGAACTCACTGTGTAGCCCAGCTTGGCCTTGAACTCGATTATCCTGTCTTAGTCTCTCAAGTGCTGGGATGACAGCCATGTGCCATCATGCCCACCTAGAAAAAGCCATTTTTAAAAGTAGAGCCAGATTTTGTTGGTATGAGGAACAGGAAGGGGCCCAAAAAGCATCATGCAATAGGAGTAAGGAGCCTCCAAACTGGACAATATCACAATCACTAACAGGCACACAGTGCTATCGGAAAGCAATTCATTTGGCCTTGGGGAACCAGGAAGTTTAAAAATATCCATGCTTCAGACCCAGTCCTAGCCCAGGTCCGGTGAGTGTGTGGAGAGCTTCCTGCTACCCTGCGCCGGCGGGACCAGTCCCAGCCCAGGCGCAGCGTGGGCC